AGTCAACAGGTACGAAATGATGATAATAACTCCAATGAATCAATCACCACAGACACACTGAGACGTGACCAGAAACTGAATCCACTTTATGTCCAGTTTTAGGGCCAGAACCACGGGTGGACCTGGGGTAGGAGGGGGGGGTGCGACCTCACGCACCGAGGAGTCCACTGCTGTCGCTTTTTTATACTTAGAAGAAAAAACTCACCTGTCACTGAAGGGAAACAAAATTTAAATAAAAAAAAAAACTCAAGGTCGTTGTTTGATCCGATCGACTCCAGGAGTCCGTGGTTCCAGACTCTTCCGTAGCCGCAGCTCCTCACTGACGCATTCAGAGGAAAACAGATGATAAAGCATCACCGAGGTGACACGTGATTGGACGGCATATCAGAGTGACATCATCAGCACAAAGTGTCCACGTTCCGTCTCCCACGCTGCCTTGTTGACCATAGTTGCCTCAACGTTGGCCACTTTAGCAACATCATGAGTTTTGTGCTTTTTTTTGTTGTTGTTTTTTTATATATATATTTATATATTTATATATAATGTGCCACCATCGGTACTTCGCAGAACTCTTCACAGGAACTTTATTGTCGCTGAAGTCCTGCAAACAGTTATTAAAAACAGTAAACACGATAAATATAAAGAGGATTTTAATACTAAACTAAAACCACACGGGGCACCGTAACACCGTAACACCGTAACAGTACCACAGCAGCACAGAAGGAACAAAAACAGTACCAGGTGCAGATTAATGTACCAGAGGAGGGAGAAACCGATTCTTCTTCTTCTTCTTCTTGAAATCTGAGAGACTGAAACTGACGTGTTGATCCATGAGACGTGTTGAGGACATGAGACGTGTTGAGGACATGAGACGTGTTGAGGACATGAGACGTTTACTGGACTCCTCCACAGGCTGTGAGTGGACGTGGACTTCAAAGGCCTTATGAACCATGTGACCACTGCCTGTCCAATTAGGGCAGAGCTCTCTGTAATTTGGTACCGAAAACAGAGAAGAATGAAGCCAGACAGGCTATTACTGAGCACATGAATCAGTGTGTGAGTGTGTGTGAGTGTGTGTGAGTGTGTGTGAGTGTGTGTGTGAGTGTGTGTGAGTGTGTGTGACTGTTTTATAGTGGAACCCACTCGGCCACAGGAGTTGTAGTTTGTCAGCACAGACAGAGGGGGCGGAGCTAATCCTGCCCAGGACAAGGGGGGGGGGCAGTTCCTGAGGGTCAGAGACGAGTCTGAATGTCTAATAATTAGAGACTCACGTCCGACCGTCGGTTTGTTAATCGACCGGTTCAATCGTCAGTTATTTGCTCATCCAATCAGAGTTTGAGAAAATGGTGTTGCTGGGAAAATAGAAATTAAATTTTCATATATTTGATGTATATTGTTTTGGGCTTTTGTTCGAGAAAGAATTTTAGAATTTTTTTTTTTTGACATATGTTGTTTTAATGTTTTTAATTTGTCCCCTGTAAAGTCAAACGTGATTGGCTCCACAGCCGATGACTCCAACTGTCATCATTGTCGTCTTTCGCGGTCAGACCAGGACACAGCTCAACAGTGGCTGTAGTTTTTTTTTTTTTGTCTTCTGTCGGCGAATCAAATACACCGGGGCAGAAATAGAAATGCCAGCTGTCAATCACCCAGTGACCCCTCCCTCACCAGGACCACGTCGGGAAAGTATTGATTCGGTCGAGAAAAAGCTCTCAGGACGTGTTACGCTGTTGTTTTCAGACAGAGCTGAGCTGAATCAGACAGAGAGCATGATGGGAAATACAGAGAGTTCTGGAGAAAAGAAAATGCCTCCAGGCTCCAGTGGTAACTAAATAAAGAATAGAAACCCAAAGAAATGTATTGATTTTTTTTTCCTTCTCATAACAAACCACCAGCAGGTCATGACCTCCAGCAGGTCGTGACCTCCAGCAGGTCGTGACCTCCTGAAGAGGATCGAGAACTCGGATGATCCGTGGAGTTTTAGGGAAGGAAGAGGGAGAGTCCCCGCTGACTTTGACAAATGAGCCTCTACATTTGTTTACCAGAGTAAACATCCTCAGATGACCCAGATTTACCGCAGCCCACACGTACCGTAAACTTCCGCTGACGTGGGGAGCAGCCCAACTACCTCTCAGCACGACGCCACACACTGGAGGCAGATAAGAGTGTTTACTTGTTTGGGAGTTTTTTTAATTTCAGCCCAGACGGAGCGACAGGGCAGATCAGCGCCGGGATCAGAGGAATCACAACCGTCTCCTCCAGGTTCACCCTCCTGGCTGCGTTCTCAGGCTCGGAAAAATCCAATCCTTAAATTAGCCTCCGACGGAACGACGAGTCTGAGGAGCAGGGAGAGAAATCTGCCCGAAGAAAATGTTCTCCAGGAATCCTCGGGTCTTGTTTTAATGCTCCTTCAAACAGGAGTTTAATCAGAAGAAATATTTATTCGTCTCCAGACGGACCGTCCCTGCAGATACCCCGTCAGTCCATCGGAGGGCAACAACTATTCACACTCTCATTTATAAATGTGAGTTTATAAATCTATGGGGCAGCAGATCTTTATGTCTTTCTTCAACTCCTGCTGACGTATCGTAGTTGTGTTCACGTAAACAGGACACAGAGTCATGTTGTGAAAGTAAACTGAAACTTTCATGGTTTTTTTTTTGTTTGCTGGTGAACCGTGGGATTTTATTGAGTAAAATATGTGGTGTGGATCCAATCCCAGCAGTCAACAGCTGCGGGGGAGGAGGGGTGTTTGGGGGGGGGGGGGGTAAAACAGTTTGCCAGGACTCTACAGGGCCACCTATGGAGACAAACCGCATCTTACACCCACGGTCAAGAGGACAATTATACATGTTTTTCTACAGGAAACTGGAGCCTCCAGAGAATATCTCCCCCATCTCCCCCTCCCCCAAACCACACACACACACACACACAGGAAAACCATGAGAACGTCATACAGGAAAAGCTGGAATTCAACCAGAGAACTGGTTGCCTTCTTACTGTAAGGCGAGAGCACCAACCACTGGCCCTCTGTGTCACTCCAAAGCCATATTTCGTTACAGACGTCTCTTCAGTCCTGACGTCCTCTGAAGGGTTAGGTCAAAGGTCATGAGTCTCCGATTAGACCAGCAGTGTTTGCTTCCTTTTTGTAATCACGGAGAAACCTGGCACCAGCTGTTGACCCGGGGTTTGAACCCCCGACTTATTGTTCCTGATTGTTCACCAAACGAACCCACAGCATCCTGTGCGGGAACCAAAACTTTAAATAGAAACAAAGCTTCCAGTAAAATCAACATGCTAACGCTGAGCTAACGAGGAAGCGTCTCGATGCTGCAGTGACTGTAACCTGACGTTAGCGTTTCAGCAGCGTTCTATTCTCAGCACGGTTCATTAGGAGTTTGTTTTCACCTCTTCTGGGTTTATTGTCTTAACAACAGGACGATGTGGAACCGCAGCCGGACGTGTCCAGCTGTAAAGTCTCGTTAAAAGCAGCGATCGCTGTTAGCGACTGTGGAGGTGAGGCCAATAAGTGGTTACTTTAACAGGCGGCAAAATGAGTGCTAATGAAGTGGGATTTAGAAAACACAGAGTTTTGTAGGTGTTGTTTAAATATAAAAGTTTTGTAGGTGTTGTTTGAATATGGAAGCAAACACACACAGACACACACAGACACACAAGGTGTGAAGACGCTAACTGTTAGCAAAAACACAAACAGGTCATCACACAGTATAGCCACTGTGATACACACTACAAATAAAAAAAAAACGTTTAACAGCTCATCCACAAATTCCACACCCACTCTGACGGAACTCTGGCCAATGACAGAAGACGCCGACCAATCACAGAGCAGCTCGTCAGAGCAGCTTTACTCCTGCTTGTGTTCACACGTCACATCAGTGGAAAATAAACGTACTTCAGTTTCGGTTGATACTAGAAGCATATGAATAGGATATATATATAGGATTATATGAGTATATATTCAATATATATTAAATATTTATACGCTTTTATATTAAGTATTTATTATTTTCTTAATGCAATATTAACCTCTCACTGTAGCGATAGGAATTTCCCGAACAATTTCATTTTGTGTTTGTCAACAACCGTCTGCGCGTGTTGAGTCGCCTTCGACAGTCTGGGCCGAAAATCCAGCAGAATGTTCACAGATCCTGCTCCGTCTCCCTGCAGATCTTGTTCAGATCTCCACATGGGGCTTAAAGTATTTATGACGGTGCAGTTAGCGCTCCCTGCAGCTCAGCCTCCCCCAGGACAGAATTACAGCTAATGGGAGAGAAACAGATGGAGCTGGCAGTCAGTCCACCGAGGCCCCGCCGAGGCCCCGCCGCCGTCGCTGCCACTTTCACTTTTCTCTGTTAAATTGTTTGTTTATCGCTCGGTTCTGAAGGTTAAGACAAATACCAGGTCCCTCATTGGCTGAGGGTGGGGCTGGGGGGGGTTCGGGAGGGGGTCAGCGGCGAGCCGTGGAAAAGGTTACAGACGACACGTTGCATTAATTTTTTTATTTTTTATATAAATGTTAGAACACAAGACGATACAGATGAATTTACGTCAAACCTTTTTATCTCTGACTCTGACAGACGGTGAATGAAGGAAAGACAACAACAAAAACAACAACAACAACAGGTGAACAGTTTCAGTTATAAACAGTTTAATTGTACAACTATTTACATGAACTGCTCTGCAGTTTGAAGTCTCACAGGAAACAAAACGTTCAATCCGTTAAAACCCAAATGCACAGCTGCATTGGCACAGAAAAGAAAAAAAAAACAGAGGAAAAAAAAGAAAAAAAAGAAAAGCACCACATTTGTCTGTAATATTTTTGACGTGTTGTTCATGGAGTCAGTTAGAAATGAATGAACTTTAACAGAATCTCCAGTTCTGGTTTTTACGGTGTTATGGTTTTATGAGGCACTGACAGTCGGTCTGTGGATCAGCCTGGAACCAGTCTGAAAAACAGACGCTCAGTCTCACTTCAACATGTCTGACAGAAGAGAGACGAGGCCGGTGGGGGGGGGGGGGCATCCTTTTAGCCACATTATCTTAAACAGGAAGTGGTTTATTTTTGTGTCTCCACGTTGATACTTTTTGATGATTTGAAACATGGCAACCACGGCTGGTTGACCAGCAGCTCCGACACAAAAAAAAACCTCTCTGCTGCTGTTAGCTGGTGCAGATTTTGACAAACTAGTTTTTATCCCAGTTGGCCGCCATGTTGGATGTAGCGTCCTAGCATTAGCACTAGCATAGCGACAGCATTTTATAAAACCACATGGCTCAGCGTTTGCTCTGACCAACGGTTCTTAAATATAGTTCCAACAGAACCAACACACTGAGCTCAGTTGGAGCTGGTTCCAGATGCTGTCGTATTTAGTTAGTAAAAAAAAAAAGTTTATTCAAAATGTGAAACCTCTACGATTCTCTAAAAATAATTTCGGTGAGATCAGACGTGAATCCGATTATAGAACCATGATTTCTAGATCACAGACACATGGAGACCATTCCAGGCTCCGAGGTTTGGGTGCACGGAGGGCAGGTTCCCGAATTTTCCCCCACAGAAGATTGATGTGTCATTATGTAAAGTTTGGACGGTCACACCCTATTAGAATAAGTGGGCCAGCAGTGCCTCACAAATATGTGTGTGTGTGTGTGTGTGTGTTTTAAATGACCCACTAACTGCTGCCTGAGAAGTCACCAAAGATTGAAGAGCACCAAACTGTTTGAAAACAGTGACATTTTTCAGACTCTTGTCTCTAACGTTGTTTCTAAAAAGCCCAGCACAGGAGTAGACGAGGAAAATGTTTTGCTTTGAATAAATGTGATTTTCTGGCACAAAGGAAGTCTTTGAACATTCCTTCCTAATTGCGTGCTGCGTTACCTCTCCCTTTTTTATAGTTCCTTTTGTTTCTCATATATTTTATAGGCAGGACGTTTCCTGTTTCCAGGCTCAAAAGACAGAAAAGCACCAAAACTTCTTCAAAAAGTTTCTCAGAATCCAAACAAAAAAACAAAAAAAACATTCTCCGTGTCCCGTGTTTTAATGGAGACTCGGAGCGACCAGGTATCCGTTGAAGGTGATGTAGACATCCACGTCGTCGCTGTAAATGGCGTTCTCCCTTTCCCGCTTATAGAGTCGAACCCACACCTCGTCGTTCAGAGCCAGGTCCAGCATCACGCTCTGGCTCTGCATGATGGAGCGCTCGCTGGGCTGCGCGTACAGGATGACCTGCTCCTTGTCGTTGTGCATCAGGTGGAGGTAGGTCTCCTTGAAGTTCCAGGTGTGGATGTTGACGTTGAAGAAGTAGATCCCCGGCACGTAGCAGTAGAACTTGCCCTTGAACATGTTGAAGTGCTCGTGGATGTTGACGAAGACCGTGTCGAAAACCAGCGCCTGATAATAGTCCAGGCTGTGCAGGGACTTCCGACGCCCGACCGAGAAGAAGGAGGACGAGATCTTGCAGGCGTCTCCCGGGGCTCCTGCCTGGCCTTTGCTGCCTTTGGGACCGATCAGTCCTCGGTATCCATGGGGGCCCTCCAGCCCTGGTTTCCCTGGTGTACCTCTGTCACCTTTTTCTCCTTTGTCACCTGGTGGAGGAAGGCAGAATACGGATTAATGACGGAGACGGAAATGTCCAACCCAAATATAAACTCTAGAAATCTATTTTATTCTCCAGTGTTGAGGCCTGCATGATGCCTTCTGGGTAATGTGAGTGAAGGCAGGTGGTGGTGGTGGGGGGGGGGCTTGACTGAGTGTGCAGTATGAAAGATTTTTTTCCTTTTTAATCCAATGAAATTGGAAATTTCCAGTATAGAAAAATGTGAAGAAAACTCTTCAAAGCTACAGTTCAAACTTCGCTCAGTGAAGCATTTTGAGCTTCAGTGAAACAAAAACTCTTGTCTCACTCACTGTTGAACATAATCACTTTATTTTCTACACGTCGGTCTGTCGTCAGCCTGATGTAAAACTACAACAACTCAATGTTTGTGTCTGAATAAAGATAATTCAACGTGTGTGAAAAAAAGAGTTTGCAGAAAAATGACTGCAGTTTGTGACACTGCTAAAAAAAACAAAACCTGTTTCTATCCTAATTAAACTCATAAAACTGAAAAAAATATTAATTCACTAAGAAAAATAAGGCAAGTATTTGCTTAATTAGAAGCAGACTGGGAATAATTAGGATTATTTAATTTATAAATATATATATTAATAATGAACAACACTTTAATGTTTTATTTAAGTGACCAAACACCATCTGTTTCTCACGGTTCAGTAAAGATGTGTGAGAGTTGTTCGTTTTTTCAGCCTCTAAATGTGGATTAAATCTGGACTTGGACCAGACTCGGGTCAAAGGTGTCGCAGGTGTTAATCTGCAGCTGAGGACGATCGCTCTGATTGGACAGGTGCAACAGCAGGTCGGGTTTCTCTGCTCACAGGCTGTTTTTGTTTTTGTTTTTTTGAGTCCAAGGGTTCGTTTGTGTTCTGTTGTTTTCTGTTCAATATTTAAGGGGTCGTTCAGTTTCTGCCCCTCCTGCCCTCTGCCCCCACTCCATTTTAAATGTGGTTTCTGTTTGTTTGGGGTTGTTTTATTCCATGTGAATATGAAATGGACTTTCTTGTCTGTTTTAGATCTGACTTTTTAAATAGAAAATCCATTTATTTACCTGACATTCGTTCACTGTCAGCAAGTTTATTTGTTTTGTTTTTCAAGCCTTAGATTCTCACTCCTGTTTCCTTCTACGACGATGTTTCAAACAGCAGCGAGGATAAATATCTCTACCTGTCGTTGTCTTTGGTTTATTTTTCATCTTAGATCCAACACGCAGCGAGACTTCAAAACTAACAAAAGAAACAACAGACTCGTCCTCCAGAAAAAACAAAACAAAAAAACTTTCTTCTGCTTTTTGAAAATGAGTAACAACTCATTACTGTCTGGAAACTTTAACCAGTGACGGTGCTTGAAGTCACCTTTGGAAATCAAAGAGCTGCTTTTAAAACCTTGGGCAGAAGAACAAACGTTTGTGCCACAAAATGAAACTTTTAACAGCGTTTCGAAACAAAATGTCGACCTGACGTTGTCCAGGTGGAGGTTAGTTCTCAGGTGGGACAATATTCTGAAGTTCAAACTCCTAAAGTTCTGAGATTTAAGTCGTGAGGTTATAAAAAAAAAAGGTTTTGTTGAGAATGAAGGCGGAAGTCTTTCGAAAATGAAGACGGGAGTCATTCTAGAATAAAAAATAAAATATAAATAAAAAAACCCAAAAAAAAACATTTGTAATCCAGATGAAACAACCATTTCATCCAATTACTTCTACACAACAACACAAACGTCAACAGACATGTTGACTGGATAATGCTGGAAAATTCAAACCTGAAGTTCTTACAAACCTACTGAGCGCTGGCTCTGGATCCACACCAGATGGAAATAATTGATGAACAAGACACACTGACATCTAGTGTTGATTATTATAATGTAATACATTTTATACATGGATAAATATTGACGATACAAATAATAAAAAAAAACTAAAAACTTGTGTAAAAGTAGGGATTATAAACTGTAGCCCTGAAGCGTCTGTTTTGTTTCTCTTCCTCTTACAGACACAGGATTGGCCGACGGGCTGTAAACAATGAATCAGCAAAATCTATGGGATGTATATTTCATGATTGGAACGAGATTTGTCCTTCGTCTTCGTCTTCTTAGGTCACAGAAGAACGGAATCTTTTTACATTTCCCTTCGACACTAAAAGTCGAGGAGACATCTTCAAACTCATTAGAGCAACACGAGCCTCATTTTTGTGTCGACATTTTGGCAGTTGAAGGACTAACTTTGTCCAAAAGATTTTAAAAAATCAAAAACAGAATTCATTCCCGAGGGAAAGTTTTTACGAGGTTCTTGTCCTCGCCTGTGTGTGCGTGTTGTTTGTGTGTGTGTGTGTTGAAAGGAGACGCAGGAGGATTAGGTTTGGTGAGTGTATTTTTGTGGTTAAGCAGTTGGATGGGTTTGGAGGTCGAGTGTGTGAGTGTCACAACCAGCTCTGTTTGAATCCTTATCAAAGGAGAAACAGATAAAAGAATGGAGTGAAGACGACTGAGGCTGAGACTGAGGCTGAGGCTGAGGCTGAGGCGGCCAATCAGAATGCAGAAATAAGATGCGGACGTTCTCACAAATCTCTGGTAGATGTCGCATTTGTCTATGTCGTCAGAACAATTAAATATTTTTCAACTAGGTGGCAGCAGATGGCTAGAGATTCAGATCTTTTGACGAGAATTTTTTTCTGTCTGTGCCTTTCTTCAATTCCAGCTTTGTGTTCAACTAAACAGGGCCAGGTTTTATACTGAGTAAAGTGTGAAACAAAACTGAAACTAGCCAAAAACTGCGTCAGTCGTTCATTTCCTCCACTTCTCCGACCTGTTCACGCTCACAGAGGATCTGATGTTGTACCTTTAAGGATGGTCATGTTGATGACTGTACGAATCTCTGGCATCTGCTGCGAGCCGGTGACGGCTGACGGCTCCAGTTGGTCACAGCAACGCCTGCAGTGTCTGGTAGGCGACCTGGAGGGGGAGGCGACACAGCAAACCAGGGGGAGGAGCAAAAGCAGCCGCGCACACACCAACAACATGGTTGGCAAAACCTGCGAAAAACGACAAAAAACAAGAGCAAAACCTGCGAAAAACGACAAAAAACGTGAAGTATAGTAGTAATAGTAACTGAAGTAATCAACTGGAATCACCCCCTCTAGAGTTAGCATTTAAGTAACTGAAGTAATCAACTGGAATCAGCCCCTCTAGAGTTAGCATTTGAAGAAGAAATGATGGAAGTAATCATCATTAGTGTGAATGTGTCCGGAGTAGAGATGCTAGGATCGGAAATCGGACGTTTTTATTAGAATGATCGGCCGTAACTAGCGAACAACCGTCGGCAGACATATTGTCACATTTACAGCCGATCATTTTGCGCATGCCTTCTGTTAAAGAACGGGAACAGGAAGTTCCTACTCTGAAGCTGAAGCTAACATGTTGTTAGCTTGAATGTACAGTGAGTCAATAAACCTGTAATTGTAATAACGGTCAGAAAGACAGATCTGACACTTGAGCGCTCAACAATCATCCAGACAAATATGTCCATTTTAGAGACGCTAACATCAGGTCAGCCGCTGTTGTTTTCCAGACTTAGCACTACTGTATGGATGTATCGCGATTTGTCATGCTACGTTAGCCATTTGCTGCGCGCTAAGTCTGAAATTTTACACTGAAAAACAGCTGTCAGAATCAGAATCTGCAAGTCTCTAACAAAAAAAAAATCTGAATTCAGAATCAGCCAAAAGATTTGCAGTCGGTGTATCTGTAATCCAACATGTGTTCTGCTTCCCTTCATATGTCGACGGGAATTGGACCCGGTTTTTCTGTGGATTGTGGAGGAGTTGAACCCAGTCCCAGGTCAACAGTCCATCACAGACAAAGAACCACCGCACCCAGCTTGCACAGAAACCAAAGTACAAAAAAAAACTCCCAAAAAAACCATATTCACGAAACCAAAGTACAAAAAAAAAACTCCCAAAAAAAACATACACTCAAACAGAAAGAAAATGCACAAACTTTACAAATCGTGTCCATCTGTCCAGGCCAGGATGTGAACCAGTGACCTTTTACAGTAAAAATAGTTTTAAATAAGTCAGCAGTCTCATATAAAGAATGATGAATGGAATTGTGGGTCTTTTGTTTTCTCCAGATATGCATCCAAAAATAAAAAGTGTGATTTAGTACGTTTGGGTTTTTTTTAAACATGTTTGAGATTCCTGCGGCCGACTGGCCGAGTCTCAGGACATTTCCGTGACGTAGGTTTGATCCTGAGGTTTATCTGAACCAAAGAGTTTAAACAAAGGCAGTAATCCTCAGGCATTGTTGGAAGACAAACCCTCAATCCTCACCAGTGTAAAACCATGTTTAGAGTCAGCCAGGGGAGTTAGTCACACAGGAGTAAAAGCCGCCGACGTGAAGTTTTCTCAACTAACAGCTGTTCCACTGCTTTAAGACGCAGCGCGGCCAAGAGCTGAGAGCCAGATACTGTCATGATTATTATTAATGAGCGTCAACTTCGGAGCAAAGTCCCCGAGAACACATTACAACACATTAGCATTTATAAAGAGCTCCCTGGAGACGGAACACATATAAAACATACAAATGGGATTCTCCTTCTCCTTCTTCTCCTCCTTCTTCTTTTTTATCTTATTTCATTTTCTAAATGCTTCTTCTCCTTCTCCTTCTTCTTTTTTATCTTCTAAATAAAAACACACCTGGACGGAATCACTGAATAATGAAACCATCAACAGTGATTTTTTTTTTACTCCCATGATACATTCACACACTATTCCAAGGTCAAACGGGGACGGAAACTCCCTCGGAACGATGCAGATGAAAACTTGTAAAAAAAAAAACACACACACTGATCCACAATCTGCCCGTGGAGATTTCAACTTTCAACCCCTGCGTCAGTCCACGTCCAAGTAGGTTTATGTGCAGCCCGGTCCCTCAGCAGGACATAAAAGTAAACACACACACACACTGACACACTGACACAGGCTGGAGATTTGATTTAACCATAACCATAATTACCAGCTGACTCAGCCCGACTTGTGTCAAACATACGGCCCGCGGGCCACAATCGGCCCACTATGGGGTTTAAATCCGGACCAGTTGATGAATTACTTACTTTTTGAACACTTAATGTTGATGATGTTTTTTTCAAATATACTTTATTACTTTATTAATATACTTTTATGCACGAAAACAAAGGGGAAAAAAACATGGACTTTTTGTTATTTATAGGTTTTTAAATCTATTTCAAATATTTATTTTAAATCCAGAATAAATGCAACGTGAAAAGTCCGACCTTTGAACCAGTTTTCCTTTTGTGCCACGTGACACCAAGGAGCAGCTACTGACGCCAGCAGTTTGTCGTCATCCATTCATTCTCACTATGAGCCACACACACTGACACGGACTGTGTGAAAAGCCGAGAGGTGAAGAGGAAAACAAACAGCAGATAAGAGAACAGTGGAGAGAAAAATGAGTGTGATAACGGAGAGATTCCCTGGGACTGTTACGGTGATGGATGAAAGTCGGTATCACAGCTGATGGATGAAGCACGACTCTGAGAAAAAAAACAAAAACAAAACAAACTGCCTCTGTATTTTCCCAGGTTCTGATGATAAAGTCACAGCGTCAGCTACGGTACGTGAAGCAGGTTAATGTCAACGCATGCATTTCTGCAGTATTTGAAGTAATGGTCAGATGTTCTGATCTGGATCATCATTTATAAACGATGCCACTGACCTTAGCAACGTTAGCGGTGTTCTGACGTCGTCCTCCGTTGCCAAATTAATGCATAATATTACTTTATTGGTCCCAACATGCTGCCCCCTGGAGGCACCAAGTATGTGGTTCCTCTAGGAACCTCTGTACCCAGGACTCTCTGCTCGCAAGGCTAGCATGCTAATGATTCCGCTATGTTATCAATGACGCTGTGGAGAAGCATGTATTTTTCTGTCTAAAAAAACTGGAGAGATTTTATTTTCTCAAACTCAGTGTCGTCCTGGTCTCATAAGGTGAAGGTGTTTTTCAAGCACCATGAAATCTCAGTTTACTACTTTTATAGTCATGAACCTTGGACGGTGATCAAACCAAAATGGCAGAATCCCAGGATCTGGTCCGGAGACATATTCAGATGATATTCTGTCTCATGGTCGTCACTAAATCTGATTCCTGACCCACTGTATCCTAACGTTTCACTGCAGACATGCTGAGACAACGGCGTTCGTTTGAATTTCGTGCCTCAGGCGTCTGATCCATATGAGATGTATTTACATATCTGTGTGAATCGCCCTGAGAACGCTGCCAAATTAGAATCAGATCATTGAAGACAGATGTCGAGAGCGCGTCTGATCGGTGCCGCTGGATCTTTATTTACCCTCAACCGACGCTGCATTTCTTTGGCCCGTGACAGGAAGCTGCAGTACAAGGAGAAAGGAACCCACATGAAGAGAAAAGAAAACCAACTCTGAGCCAGGATTCCAACCAAGAAACTTCTGGAAGGAGACCAGCGCTAACCACCACTTCCACTGTTCGTTCTAATACAGACGTTTGTGCAGAGAGACAGAAGACACTCGGTGATGTTTCTCCAGTTAGTATTTTTTCACAAATGTGAGTCGGTGATGCGTTGGTAACAGCAGAAGAATGTCTGCAAGACTCAGGCAAGGAATCACCTACAGTGAAGTATGCAGGAGGCAGGAGTCTAAAGGACCATCAGGTGCTTTTCTAAAACTGGGCTGGAACCCAGATCCTTTTTTGGATGTTTAATGAGGTGGCAAAGATTGAAAGATTCCAGGAACGACAGTGTCGAGTTAATGCAAACAAACACCGGTTGATAGCACGGTGTTGACAATCGTACTCAGCTCTGTGATAACAGCTGTGGACGCCGACGTGTGCGAACAGATACTCCACTCTGAGTATGTGTTAGTATTTCTTCCCAAAAACGCAGGATTCCTCGTGGGACTGTTCAAATATGGATCCTCCGACCATTTATGCGGTCCATAAAGGGAGAGGACAGTTATATTGTCGGGTTCCAGTTGCCAAATAAAGTCCAGCATAAAAACATGTGCTGATACATCAAGTCGTGAAACATTTGGCTCCGACCTTTTTATCAAGTCCTAATGCAACGTGCTGACACGCCGCTTTCTCCAACATCTGTCAAACACGCTCCAACACAGCGCCTGCTCTGCTTTGACATCACACCAGGCGTTCACTTATGTAACCAAACTGCCCTTTAATGCACCTGGGGATGAAAATGTAGGGTTTTTTTTAAGGGCGGGGGGGTGAATTCTTATGCTAACTTGCACGATACTTCAGGAGAATAATTCAAAGACTTGAAGGTTCAATGGATTCATTCCAGTGTTTTGATCTGCCTTCACATTTCACACCGACCAATCAGCTCTGCAGGACCAGGAGCCAAACGCTACGATAACCCAGCAAACCATATCGTCAACACGTCTAGTTGTCGTCGATCGGCGGTTATCTGGCCGCTAGCAACGGCGACTGTTCCTGATAGTAACAAAGTAACTGTTAATAGCGCACCCTACTGGTGGTAAAAGGTAATACAATTGCGTTTATAGCAACCTCCAGTTGTTGCATGGTTATTGTTTATAAACAGTGGGTGGAAGTTTTTACATACTGTTACATAAAATATATGTTTACTTTCACTAAAGTTTCTTTTTTTAATGTATTGTGTTTATATTTAAAGGCCCCAAAAATAAACCCAGACCCCAAGAGAGCCCAAGACCCCCAATTGAGAACCAGGGCATCACAATACACCGAACTGACACTCACTTCGTACCAACAACACACACACACAGACACACACACACCAAACAGGTACACACAAAGGAACAGACTCACGATGCAATCATCCACACAGCCACGTCTACATCGCCTCAGCGCATCAGTGTTGGCACGCGCCCGCAGCCCGGATCAACCACGAACGCCGCGCGCAAAGGCGCACAATAGACGCGCACGGCGCGCGCTTACGGTTAGAAACGGTTGCGCGCGCTGCAATGTGCATTCACGGAAATAATTAAATAATTAAAAAGCGCATTAAAAGTGCTGCTGCTGCTGCTGCTGCTGAGTTGGCGACTTGTGAATAACCGTTCCTGAGCTGCACGTCTCTGCAGACACGGCCACGCGCCGCCGGGTGTTTTTACTTCTCCGTGGATGTTTGTTGTTGTTGGTATTTTTAAATTTAGGGAAATTAGCATGCACAGGTTGTAATATTGTATTTCGGGTCGTCTTTTCTTACCTGGTGCAGTTTGACCACAGCAGCGGAGGAGGAAGAAGAAGAAGAAGAGAGAGAGAGAGAGATAGGGAGATAGAAGGAGAGAGGGAGAAAGAGAGAGAGTTCGGGTGAGACTGAGAGGAGGAACTTCTGTCTCTCTCTCTTTCTCTTTCTCTGTTTTTGAAAACTAAACTCTCTCTCTCTCTCTCTCTCTCTCTTTCTCCCAAGATCACGTTCAAAGTCCCCCCCCCCCCCCCCCCCCACTTCCCCATCATCTCCCAGTCTGTTCCTATCCCTGAACTTCTCCCTTTTCCCTTTCCCTCCCTGATTATCTCTTATTAACTCCTCCTCCGGCGATTCTTTTTTTTTTCCTCGTCTCATTCCAAACCTTATCACTGATTTTCTTGCACCAGTGTGAAGATCTTCTCACACACTTCTCGTGTGTGTTTAGATCGTTTTAAATTAAAAGTCTCAGGTTTGAACGGTTAAAGAATCGCGATTTACTTTCCACACATCGACATCTTGCGCTAACGTGGTTCCACACGTGCCAGGAACGACATGTGTTTTGCATTTTTGTTTAAGCAGATTTTTTTTTTTTTTTTAACATCAAAGAGCATCGCAATGTACAGTATGGTCAAGGAAATGATGTGACAGGAAGCCCTGAGGACTCTGGTCCACTGTAGTTCCCTTGAGCTTAGGAAGTGGAGGAGTCTTTATGTGTTTTCTAATTTACAACTTAAATACTGCATATAAGTTATCATTTATTTTCAAATGTGTTTTTTACTCTCAGGATTTAATTACAAATGAACTGCTTTCTAACATTTTGTGCCAATTGAAAAGTGAGGAGTGGCAGAGAAGTACATGAGCATGGTGCAGAGCATGTGTGGGTACGGTGGAATTGGTTCCAGATTGTATTTTACACACAGTGCAGATAAAATATACAAATATACACAAATATATTTGTTTCCCTCATACGTGGTCAATGCCTGATTTTTTTTTAATTCGACCAAGTTTGGAATTGAGCATCAGGACCTGACCATTCGACCAAGTTTGGAATTGAGCATCAGTCACTGAGTTACTGAGAGGAAAAGGAAAAGTTCGGACAGATTTTACCGTCGTCTTCAACGTTCACAGCAGAGATAAACGTGTCACAGACGGATTGTTGCAGCAACAAACACGTTCCTGGGTCCAAACCCTTTGGTGTTTGTGGCTCCGGTTCAGGACAATAACTGTTTTCACTTTAATCGGCTCCATCTTTTCCTCACCACATGATTATATCATGTCTCATAAAGTCACGTCTTCAACCACAGGCATGTTTTATACGACTGTTATCGACACTCGTAAGACTGTCATCGTTTCATGTCTGTCGTGATATGAAATGTGTTTTTGACCAAAATAAAAATAAACAAAGTAAAGTCAACTCACTTCAGAGGTTTGAACCATAGAGGGCGCTGTACAGTCTGAATGGGCACTTTTATCAGAATATAAAGTTGACCCATACCACAGAGGGCGCTGTTGTGTGGGGTTTTCTTACTGTTAATTATCAGCTGTTTCTATAGAAATGGAATAATTTGAAGATTCAAGATTCAAGATTATTTGTCAGTGAAATGTCAACTGCAATTAACTCCGAAATGTCCAAAAGTTAGAAGAATAGGATAAAATAAATATTAAAATTAGTTTAGACATAAAATAAAAAACAACAACAGTAAAAAGGAAACTGTGTTTTTATTACACCTTCCTGCTCGTTACTCCTTTGCTCACCTGCTGGTGTAACGATCTACATCTGCTCCAGATCTTTTTATGTAACAACTTTCTTCACTAGAGTTCACTCCCTGATTACACCTCAGATTATTTAACAGAAACTTTTTTTTTCCAGTCAAGCCTCTTCATCGATGATCATCATCATCATCCTCTTCTCTGAGACTAATAATAACGTGGCACACTTCTAGTTGAAGCTCCGCTCTCTCAGACATGGAAGTCATTATCCCTGGTGTGACGCTCGGATGTTTGGCTACACTTTTCTCCGCTTTCTTTCCGTGACTCACTCTCTGACTTCTGGGTCTGACTCCACAAAATCCAACAAAGACTTCTATGACCAAAAAATCATACGCTGTGAGGCCGTACGTGATTGGACGGCTCGTCAGCCACTCACCAGTTGTTTTTTGTGCCACTTTCACCAACAGGGAGAACATAAACACACACTGTTGTGGCTACAAATATACTCTGAACATCATCAGCTTCTTGTTGTCCTTCAGTTCAGGGTCATGAACCTGGAAACATCTACGACTGCACCATCCAGATACTGTTCACTCCAAGGTTACATCACAGCTGTTGAAGGACTAGAACTCCAGTTCAGTTCAATTAATTCAAATAAAATCCCAGCATTTGTTTTCAAAAGTTGAATATTTTCTCCAAGGACAAAGTAACCAGCTATAAAACTTTAAAAAAAAAAATACATGAATAACAATTTAACGTGACGTCCCCACAACCGTCAGGGCCCCAGTTATTTTTCATAATCTAGCTCTGAGCTAACGGAGCGTCTCTCACTTCGTAGCCTTGTGGGAATCGTTGATATTTTTTCAAATGACACAATGTTGTTATAAAGTTGTGGTTCCTGTGTGTTGTTGCTGCAGTAGACATAATAATTACAGTAGTAATTGCCAGTGCTGAAGGGTTTGGAACATGAGCTCAGACAGGACTCTGTTTATTATCCCCGAGGTCTGTAGACTTTTTCAACCACACGGTTTATTTCTGCTGTCAGTGTTCTGAGTTTGGAATATTTGGATTCAGGAACACGAAGCTGAAATCAGGTCAGACCAGAGTCCAGCATTTAACACCTAACAATCCCGACTCAGCAGTTCACCTGTTTTAACCTGTATTTACTGACCACTGGAACCAACGACTTTAACACCATTTGTTTGAGTTTCACGATGCCCTGGACTGACATGTTCAGGGAGTGGCTGGTTTGTTTCCCCAGAAAGGTGACCAGAATGAGAAGCTGGGTTTCAGCAGTGTTTTTTTCTTTTTTTTAATATAAACACATTTTTTGATTCATCTTTATTTTTACCATCTGCCTGTGGTCATTGGTGCAGTGAGCGCTAACAGAAATAAGATTGTCTATTACCACTGACTGCACCGACGGTTAAATATTACTAACCTGAATGAAAATGGATTTTTATTTTTATTTTTTATTAGTGTGAGAAATGAGGCAGTTAAATAACTTGTCACGTCGGGAAATTGAAAATGACAATAACAACAACATCCTGCAGTTTGAAAAAAAAAACCCAAAAACAACAAGGTTTTACAGAGAAAAGTGTTTGATGCTACGGTTACAGTGACTGGTTCAGAACAAAGGAGATTCAAATGCAGAAAAGTCGAGTGTCTTTTTGTAAAAGCAGCTCAGAGCTGATGCACTGATGAAGGAGGAGGTGCAGGAACAGTACTACAGTAGTACTACAGTAGTACTACAGTATCCATTTCCCTAACAACGCTCTCTGCCTCCACGTGTTCTATACGTTCCATGTTCTATGAGTCACTTCACGTTTTCCTCCCATTCCAGATTTGTAGCTCCCAGCTTCACTGTGCACTGATGCATATGTACCGTGTATAATCAAGAGCAGGCAGAGCAGGTTCAAGCTCCTCCATGGGATTGGCTGCAGAACCGACTTTCATGTCGTTCCTTCTGGAGTCTTTTGGACTGAGTAGAGAAACTGTTGGCAAACGTTCCAACGTTTGATGAGTTTGATGAAGGTGTTAGATGGTTTCATGCCGGCGCAGTTTTACCAACATATAGAGTTTGAACAGTTCATGCCAAATATTTTTTTTACTATTAATCGCTCTATATGTTAATGAGCTCCCATAGATAAACAACCGTATGTTTGGAGGTTTTTAAGTCATTTTAAGTCATGGATGGATGGATGGATGGATGGAAGTCATTTTTGGATGATGTATCCTCACACCTGCTCCTGCCGTGGAGGAAAAATCTCTGAAGTCCAGGTTGGTTTTGTCCGTACGTCACATTGTCTTTTTCATTTGCTGTTGGCAACAAATGTTGGCTGTTGGTCATTTCACGCTACATGTTGTAATGGAATTAAACATTTTTAATGGAAGCAACCAAGACGATTTCTGGGCAAACAAAAGCCATGACTACTGTCCTGGTGGGTGCAGACTGTGAATCATGGGTAAAAAAAACCCAGCCAAAATGACTTGTAGTGTACAATGCCTTCAGCTTAATCAGGACCTGCTGTGTAATAAAATCTGTTTTACTGCAGTTTTCGTCAGATCTGTTAATTTGACCAGAATCCTTCCTTAAACGTTAATAATCAAACTCTAAAAGCTCTCTGACCGATGTAAACCCTCTGCTTCCTATAAAAATCTTTACCAGTCTGTTGTTACATGTTCGACCATCACTAACTAAATTATCCTAACCTTGTTACTGTGCATTTTCCCATAAAGTAACACAAGGCTTTCCTTGAATTAAAAACAAAATGTCTACCCGTCATGCAACACATTGTGCAAATAAAAGTAGACTTTTATGAAACTGTATCTCCGTCACACTGTGGTTTTACATCATTGTCCAGATCCATGTGGAGTCTCTGTGAGCTGTGCTGAAAACCCAGCGCGGAGGAAGAAAAGACAGATGTGGTTTAGTGAGTACTACATGCTGTGTAGTACACCTAATAAATATGACTGCAGAGAGTGTATGGTAATAGGAGTCGGCCTCCTTCAAACACACACTGGAGGGAGATGCTGGTGAAAAGCTGAGAGCTAATTATTCTACTGCAGCTCTCGTGACAGTATTTAAAGGTCTGACATGAGGGCTGGAAAATACACACACACACACAGTCACTTAATTTGACTGGACGCAGCATCAACCCCCGAGAACACAATTCTACTCACAGCTCATGTGTGTTTTCATCCTTCAGCTCTAGATCTGCTTCAAATGCTAATTAAAAAAGCAATGAGATTTTTTTTTTTTTTTGCAGAGCAGATGATTGTATATATATATATTCATATTATTAATGGGCCAGAGCTTCGACAGTGTCTTGACGCTCATTCAACGTCACTGTCAACTCGACTGTAATGTTGCGCCGTCGCCTCCCACTCTGTGTGTTTGACAGGAAACGACAGATCCTGCAAATAAACACGGTCCCTTTTAATGGGATTGTTGTTTACGCTGTGTTTACTGTGTTTACAGCCTGCAGGAAGTCCTGTATACAATGTGTAGGCCATGATTCTGAGCGCTGGCGTTCCGCTCCACTGCGTCAACCTACGCTGTGACGTCAGCTGGCACAAAGTGGCCGCAGCGTTGCCAAATAAAAGTTAGAAGTTATTTTTGAAGTCAACTGGCTCAGTGAGTTCACACCAAAAATACACACCAAAAATACATACTACAGCAGAACTCGTATTTTTTAAAGACATGTTTGTGTGAAAATGTTTAAACAATTGACATTTGTATATGTAGAGAAAAATAATAGACCACGAAGTGACTCTGACCGCTCTTGTATTCTGTGGGTTTTGAACTTGGAAAATTATAGTCAGAAAACAAATACATTTTTTAAACTATTCTAACTATTCGTTTGCTGCTTCTTGCGTCCGTCTCTAGGGGTCGCTACAGAGGATCACCTGCCGCTGTTTCACTGTATGTCTCTGACAAATATTGCTGCTCTTCCTTTCCGCTCTATCAATGTTACGTCATTTCCGGATCGGAGGTTTCATCAACAGGTAAAACTGAACGCTGCTGTTTTGTACTATTCCGTAATTCTACAACATTTTAGTTACGACATACTTAACGACTGTTGATATTGGTTATTTTAAGTAATCAGGTATTATTACAACTACACCACTAAAGCCGCTGTTTTGTTTTCATTGTGTTTGTTGCTTGTATCCATTTCCGCTGCTCGTATCGATTTCCGGTCTTCACGGCGTGTCCGTGCGGGTTTTAAAAAAAACCTTAGTTTATTTCCAACCAAACTGACTGTTTTTACTTATGTTGTGTGAATTATCGCGTGAAGTGTGTGTTGTATTTTGTTTTGTGAGTGACGTATCGGTGTGTGTTTGCAAATTTACCTTTTTTGGGGCGATTTGGGATCTTGTTTGTCTTGAACTTGGAGATTGTTGTTCTGAATTATGTAGAGTTTTGTTTTCTGTGTTTTTTTCATTACTTTGTTTTCAAGATATTACTTGACATGTAATTGATTTTGTCAACTGTCCATTTTCTGAGCTTGGCTTTGCTGCCATTTTCTTTGGCGTGTGTGGCGACTCCACTAATTTGTTTTCTGCATCCCACCTTTTCAATTGCTGGAGGCTGCTGGTACTGCTTGTGTTGGTGGCATCTTCACCTGGTTTTGCTGTGCTCCTCTTAGGCCACATCCCTGATTATACCTCCGTTGTGTGAATCAGTCTTATTAGTGATTTGTTCCAAAAGTAAAAGCGTATTTAATAAAAGTGTCTCACGCCCTCTCATTGACCATAAACCTTCCATGTGTTTAAAAATGATTCCTAGGGTGAAGTTCCCAGCACGGCGTTGTCGAGCTTTTCTTGTTTCTGAGAAAACTGGTTACATTCGGCGTTGTCGAGCTTTTCTTGTTTCTCAGAAAACTGGTTACATTTATGTGTGTAATAATGTGTGTTTTGACCCCAATGTTGGCGTAGAATCTACGGTTACTGGAAAAAAAACAGTCCAAACCTCTTGTCTATTGCCCCAGTTTTCTTGGCCTGATGGCTGTGCTGTGTTAGTGATGTGATGCTGTTTTACTGTTGTATCAAAACTTTGAAGCTTTGAAGAATGTACCAAACATTGCTGTGGAATGGTCTCCAGTGACGGGACGTTCACTGACTTCCTGTTTTTCACCTGTGTTTATCAGAACATGTTTCAAGTCAAACAAACACATTTAGCATGAAATAAAGTGGTTTGTGGCCCGCGTTTGATGTACACACTGTACGTAACCGTTTTACCCACAATGCCGTGCGACCTTGAGTGCTGCCTTCTAGTTTGTTGTATGTTTTTCTAAACCAAAAAGAGTACTGGTACTTGGCTGAAAATGGTGTCGGGATAATCCCGATCCCAGTCATTTGACAGTTACTTTAAGTTAAATACTTTACTTTTTAACTTTGTTCCAGCAGAATTATGGAAAAGTTAATATTTTCAGGCCTCAAGTGATTTTAAAAAGTAATTAGAAAAAATCAGAAGTCACCAAGTGTTAATCCAGTTTAATCATTTACCAATGTTTTTATACCAAATTAAAGATTTTAGTTTTCACAGAGTTAGGAAGTTGTTCTAATTACAGACTCAGCAAATGCAACATTTCCTGTTCCTCTCTCTCTGTCTCTCTCTCCTTTGTGCTCACTGTTCTGTCAACATGTCCCCCTTATCCCCACTGACATCTTTCTCACTTTCTCCGTCCAATTTTCTCCCCATCCGTTCGTCTGTCACTTCCTGTCTTCCGTTCTTTGAGGTCCTTTCATGTCTCGCTCAGTTCTGCTGCCTGTTTGATTGGCCGGTTTGATTTTCCACCATCAGGCTTTGGTGGTCATTTCCAGCCACAGTTTTCGTCTTTTTCTTTAAAGTCTTTTTGATTTCTTTTTTTTTTCTCTCCCCACTTTTATAACTTTTGACTGTGTTTATGTCTATGCAGTTCGTCCAACTCACCAATGGCATAATTCCATCCTCACTACAATCTCTTTCGTGATGTAGAAAGTAGTCAACAATGGTCATTATTTTATAAATACAAACTTCCAAGGAAACTGTTGCTAACACAGTTTTAGCTTTGGGTCAGAAAGCATGAGCCAATGGAATAATTTATTTCCACTCATCTATTAGGACTGTGATTTCTTGGTCTCTCGCTCCAGTAACATAAACATCCTTGTTTCCTAAGGAACGTGTCCCATTTATAGAAACTGGAGTGATCTGAGCCACTGGAAGAGTGATGAGCAGTAAATGTTAGGTTGGGTTTAGAATTTTTAATTTTTACTTTAACATGCAACAACAGCCTGAGGTCAGCGATGTCCAGTTCTTATATACAGTCAATGATTTGGACGTAGAGCATTAATTGGGTTTTGTTAATCTAATTACCTGATAATCTTTGTGACATAAACGATGTTGGCAGAGTTACTTAGACTCTATGTGCAGTTGGTCCTCGACTTGCAACCTCGTCAGGCTTTGAGATAAATGAGTAATTGAAAACAGATTGTGTTGTTTTATAATTGAGCTCTGCTAAATCTTAAATGTCATTTTTACTGATACAACAACAAAACCACTCGCTCTCTGTGATGTACATGTGTTTTGTTCTCTCAGGGAGATTGTCGTTGCTTCCTTCCCCACGTTTTTTGTTCAGTTTTCTTCCTCGCCTCTCATTTAACCCCCCCTTGCGTCCCATCACATCCTGAGTCCATGGTAAACATAACCAACTCTGCTTCTTCTGATCTGCGTTATAGAAAATGTTTGACGTTAGCCTACATCCTTCAAACCGTTGTTCTCATGAGTCACCGTATGTGGGCACAGAAAACCTAGAGGCAGTGAGTTTTCACAATACGACCTGAAAACGGCTGCCGTGGATGGAAGACATTTGACACTCGCCATACATTCCAGCTCAGCCTTTCTCCCTTCTCCACCCCCGCTCTCTTCCCTCTTCGTAGAGCATCACTGCAGGCTGTTCCTGCGAGCTGTAACTTCTCAGAGCTTTGATTAAATATCACTTTCAGAGAGGAGTGAATGTGGGTCAGGTTGATCACCGCACTTTGTGAGAAAATAATGAGGGTTGTTCGTCTTTGTCTCTCATTATCTCAGACTTTCTCCTCCAGCGTTTGTCTGCTGTCTTTCATCCTCCTTTATGTCCTGTCTCCTCCTGCACAATCATTTGAAATTTTCACGTATAAGCAAGTTTAGGTTGGGCCTTTGATTTTTTTTTTTTTTTGCGTGCGACTGTTTTGCATGTCTCAGGGTAAAAACCCACACAAGTTGTCGACTTCAAAGCTCTCGAAACAGAAAATAGTATTTGTGCTTGTCAGTTTTTTCTCCGCTTGATTTCTTTGGCACTTTTCCCTTTTCTTTCTTCTGTGTGTTTTTTGTTTTTTACTCCTGCAGTGTCAGTCGGCGCCCCAGCGCTACTGACTGGAAAGCCACAAGAGGCTTATGTGGAAAAACAGAGTCATGTTGACATTGGGCCAGTTGTAAATACAGTCCAGAGTCTAAGATGGTACAATATTAATAATAATAAAATGAATATCCTCAAGTTTTTTAAGGAAGGTCACAGAATAAACTTGTCCTCAGACATCAGTGACGTTTTTACCTTTTCTGTGACATCCATTCAATTAATTTTTTGTACAAGGATAATATACTGTAGAACCCGTAGGTGGCAGTAATGCACCGTGTTAAATTTCAATCTAGCAAATAGCAATAATCGTGCCTCGGCTAAACCTCACAGGCTACGATACTGCTACTGCACAAAGCTAAGCTGCCAGTAAAGACCAACGATGGGCAGCGGGCGCTGAAACTGACTTTACACCAGACAGGAACCAAAACCAGCTCCAGTGCTTGGTCTGAATCAGACTTTTGGTTCCTTTGTTTTATATACGTCACTAAAACCAAACACAATCAGGACCTAATATGATTTAAGTGTTGGTCAAAATGTTTTATTTTTATTTTTCTATCCAATAGAACCTTGTTTTTCTTTTTAAGTCATAGTTCCATTTACACATAAGCAGTGTGTGATGTCACTCTGTATGGGTTTGTGTTTTTTGTGATATCTCTATGTGAAACGACTAAAAAAAAAATGTTTTTAAAAAGATTTGGCTACAAAATTTCTTTTTGAAAAACAAAAAATTTTTCAAATTTTTTTTAAAAAAAGATTTGGCTACAAAAAAAGGTTTTTCAAAAAACATTTTGTAGCCAAATCTTTTTTTAAATTTTTTTTAGAAAATTAACTTTTTTTTGAAAAAGGTTAACAATTATTCATAAACATTTAATCAAAGTGTCTATAATTTGATGGTTTGGTTCTGCAAACTGGCTTTTTAATTCTTTCAAAAAAAAATTTTGTAGCCAAATCTTAAAAAAAAATGTTTTTTTTGAAAATTAACCTTTTTTCAAAAAAAAAAAAAATTTTCGAAAAAAAATTTTTATTGAAAAAAATCTTTGAAAAAAAGTTTTTTTTCAAAGATTTTGAAAAAAATTTTTTTTTTAGTTTTTCGAAAAAATAAATTTTCAATTTTTGTGAAAAGTGGTTACAGAGGAGGAGGAGAGTGAGCAGAGGTCCAGCAGGAAATAAGTGACACAAACACTGGTGAAGTCAAAGAACTGAACCAATAATTACAGTACAAAGTATATGCAACAGGCTGTGACAGGCTGAGCTGATTGGCTAAGACTTTTACTGCACATTTAAAAACTCCACAAATGTAGCAGTGGAGTTGGCAGAGAAAACTTTAAATGTGCTATAGATTTTTTTTTTTCAGACTTAATTTTCTGCTTCTCCTGTTTGTGTCTTTTTCACTTATTTCCTGCTGGACCTCTGCTCACTCTCCTCCTCCTCCTCCTCCTCCTCTGTAACCACTTCTCCCAAGATAAATCTCAACCACAATGAAAACACACAGCCTTCAGCTGTTTAACCCATCACGGTGGAGAAGGAGAGAGAGAGGGATTAGGGAGGAGGGAGGCGCCCAGGGGAGCAGTGGAGAGATGGATGTGGGGGTTACAGAAGAGGAGGAAAACATAACACATATGTTTCAATGATGGGGGGAAAATATATGGAATAAATATAAATAAATAAAAACCAAACCTCAGGTAAAAACAGATCCAGGCTGAAGATTTCATTTAAAATTAAATAACAGAGAAATTCAGGGTTTAATGTGGTTTAAGAACGAGACAATAATTTTAAAAAATAATAATAAATATTAACACTGATATCATATACATTTATCATGTAAAGAGTTAAACTCCATTTTTTTAAATGACATTTTAACTTAAACCTAATCTTGAGAGACCAGGATTAATGAAGTTTAATCCTGATTAATCTGGATTAGTTGTGATCAACTCTGGATATGACGTCCTTTGTCGGTGGTGCCTCGTCTCTGTTTGAACATTTAAAGACTGTCTCTGAGTCTTTACCCCCGACTCCGACCCCGGACACTTCTCACTGTCAACTCAAAACCCATCAGCCCTGTGGTGAGAAACCTCCACAGGCTCTTCAAACATTCAACACTTCATCATTTGGAGCCACGCGGAGTAGCTTTTCACCCTTGTTCCGTCAGTCCCAGGATAATTGCCCTAATTAGACGGATCCTAAATCACAGTCAAACCAGAACAGACGCTGGGATTTCTGCTTGATTACATTATTGCAGCACAATTTTTACTCCAAAACATCCCAAAATGACTGCAACATGTGTCTCCAATCAGAACCAGTGACTCTGATGACATCACCGCGGCCTTATACTTTCTAAAGCTCCAGAAACGGGTCGTTTCTCTGTCACTCAGTCTGGGCTTAAAACTAAGACAAATACAGATTTATTTTTATTTTCACCAGAACAGGAAGAAAATAGACCATCAGTGGACCATGCTGATAACAATAACGTGTGAATCCTAGTGGAGACACAGTGAGACTGGAGATTTTTAATTTAATTTTTAAGTTCAAGAGAAGGTCAATATTTTTGTCAGGAATATCGAAATTTTTGTCTAAGGCTAGTTAGTTCAAGAGAAGGTCAATATTTTTGTCGGGAATATCGAAATTTTTGTCTAACGCTAGTTTTTGATGTTTATTTGGGAATCCAGTTGTGGGCTAGATTGGACTGTTGGTCGGGCCATATTCAGCCCGTGGGCCGCTGGTTGATAATCAATGGTTTATGTGCTGTTTCGGACCAATTCAGACCTTTTTTTAAATATTTTTTAATTGTACTTTAAAAATGATAAAATGTTATGTAACATATAATACATGTTCCTTTATATAATAATATTTTTTTTTTTATTTATACATCATTGAATCACTGATATATAATCACATGACAGTCAAATTTTACTTATTTTTACTTAAAAATAAAACCGTGGTTGACCTGGTCCAAAATGCAATGACTTCAGGTTCCAGAAGGTTCCAGTAGAAGTCCATCTGTACATCAGAGAGTACTGCAGCTCTGAGCGACCTCTGGAGTTTAGTCAATTACGTTCGGCCTGGTTAATGTTCTTTCCATAATTAACTCCTAGTGGTGGTAGCTGGAAGTGTATTTACTTTTTAATTACACTTTAAAACCTCCTGTGTTGTGTTCTCGCTGTTTAATAAATCATTGAAGACGTTCCTCTTATAACGAATTAATTAACTTTGTGAATCATAACACAATTATGTCCTGCGTTAATGTGAGGACACATTAGCTGGATATTAATTAGAAAGGGAATTGTTTTGACCTCCGTGTTCTTGGTAAAAGAAAAATAGGAGGGGGACGGGAAGTGGTCACTGGTCATACTATGGGACACTACACACTCTGGTACAGTAGGTGGCGGTATGTGCCTAAAACGTTAACTAGGCTACAGTAGGTGGCGGTATCCGCCTAAAACGTTAACTAGGTCAGTTTGACTTTGACTCAGAGCAGATCAATGGTGATGTTCCGGTGTTTCTGGAAAGAAATGTGACCTTTTTTTCTCTTCTGTTATTGAAGTGTAAAATCGTATTGTTTACGAACAATTATGAATTATATATGTTTGGTGAGTTGAGTGTTTTAGGCACACCTGTGCCTAATGTAGCTGTGGAGGTCAAAGGTCGCCTCAGTCTGTGTGAGTTTTACTAAATTCATTTCTCTATTTAAACCCTAATTTATATTTGTTTTTATCGTCCGTGCAGCTGCTAACAGTTTGATACGACTCCTCGGTCGTAGAATTTAAATTAAATTCCAGTGAATTATGGTCTACGTGGTCCAGAATTTTCCCTGTGAGCGAAGGATATTTGGCATCAGCCACTTCACTAATTTATTCTGGGCATTTTCACACTGGACTTTGGAATGTTCCGTGTTGTCTGAGCATTTATTTTTTCAGTCAGTTCAATGTTTTTTTTGGTGACTTTGTTTTGTATCAGCTTATCACAAAAAAAAGAGCTCTGTTGGTATTGTATGTCACATGGGCAGCAGTAGGAATCGAACCTGTAAATCCTCTTATCCCCTTATTTGTCCTTCAGCTCACAAGTGAAGTTAGCAGTTAGTCGGTGCTACAAAGAGCTACCAGATTTAAAAAAAAAAACCCATCAGATTGTTAAGTTTTTGTCAGTTCTTTCCTGCAGTTTTATGTAATAAACAGGAAAAGCAGCCTGATTTAGTGAAGTGAGAAATGGAAATGGACAGAAAAGATTAATGTTGATTTATTACACACAGCAGTAAATAATGAAACCACAGCCTCAGTGAAATATAAAACATGTAGCTGTGAAGATATACGACGGGAGCACGGCTGTAAATTCAGCCTCGAACCAGTCGGGCTCCAGGAACCGTCGGAGGAAACCATCTGTGGTGAAGGTTTTTTTCCTTCTTCAGTCACGAACCTTGACATTTTCTCTGACCTCCGTGTACGACACCAGTCGGCAGCGGTGCTAGTCGCTCCTAGACTCTTTAGGCCTTAGGGCGGATTTATTTCTACCTGGCAACACATGAGGCTGAAATATGATTGAATAAAAAAAAAAACATTATATCGCCCCCTGCAGAGGAGACTGAGTAACTTCATACTCCTACTAGATACTACAAATTTGTTCCTTATACTAAAGATGAATAATTATGATGAGTAAAATTAGAAAATGATGACCTGCCTAAAACAGCCAAAAAATAAATTCTGGAAAAATGTCCTTCATAAAGAGAACTGTGATGGTGGCAGATTTGGTTTCTGTCCATTAAGATTTGGGTTAGAAATAGATTCATGCATAAATATATTCCATCTGCTTCATTTGATTTAACTCTTGTCACATACCTAATGAAGTAACAAAAACTGGCTGATGTCCATAGTTGAATCAATACTCTGAGCCAGGGTTTGAGCCACTGCCCGTCCTTCCTCATCCTCTCTGGGTTTTCTCCTCCGAGTGACTTTGGATTTTTGTGGATTTGTTTTTACTTCTCTGATAAATGTACGGTTTAGTTATCAACGTGATCTATGTTGTTTACAGATGTGCTGCCAACTCGTCCAAGCCAGTGACTGATTGGCTGATTGAAGGCAGAATAAAAGCCGCCACCGACAATCCCTTTAATCCAATCAGCGGCTGCGTACATCATCTGCTGTGCCAAGAAAACAAACCCAGGCGCTCACATTACCTTTCCTCCTGTGAAGGGACATAAATCTGATGGATAAAGACGGGATGGTTGCCCAAAAATGTAAAATTGACGTATTTTTTTAGAGGTTAATCTGACATTAAAACATTTTTGGCCTCAGTCGACTTGATGCAAAAAGAAACTCTCTCTCAAGCAGAAAATTTGGCAGAAAGACTGACACAGAAATATAAGAATTTGATGATAGGATTTAGTGTTTTCTCTGCTGCATAGATAGAGGAAAATATGGTGAAAAATCAGAGGTCAACAGACGTAAGAAATGACACAAATTTTACACCAGAATCTGCCTGAACGTCAGGTGAAATCAGAGGTTAGATTCCTTGGCTGCAGGTGCGCGTTTCTCCACAAGAGGGAGATGTCGTTCAGGTATTGTAGGTAAACTAATAGTAACTTGCTGTTTAGCGCGGTATGGGTGAAATGTTCCAAGAGCAAGGGTTTACATAAATAAAATTAAAATTAAAAAATCTGATTTTATAGCGATGATAGAAATAAAATGGACTTAAATCCACAGATTTAAACCAGTTAAAGACTGAGTAAATGACTTTTTTAGCAAAGTGGGCTTTGGTTTTCCTTCCTGATGTGGGCTGTATAAATACAGTGTAATTATAGTCTGATGACTGTCACCAAACATCGGGATCAAGGTTTATAATAAATAAATAAACAGGAAATCCATCTGAGCTGTTGTTTATCAGACAAATACACAGGAAATGAGTTCCTTGAGATTTTGTGGTTGTGGGTTGAATGGCCTTGGACTTGGGTATCATCATTTTCTGACCTTGTGGTAGGTAGACTGACGGAGGGGCACTGCAGTTAGTGTCTTGATAATTCATAGAAGAGAAGGTGGATGATCACATGACGGGGGGGGGGTGGACTCAGTTGCTGCCGATGACTTTGTTGATCCAGTCGCTGAGTCTGGTGATGCGAGAGTAGACGCCATATAAGCCTGGACGCCCACAGCCGCTGCCCCAGCTGACCACCCCGGCCAGAAACCAGCGACCTGACGGCTCCTGGCAAACCAGGGGCCCACCAGAGTCTCCCTGCCACAGGTGTGAGGAGCAGAGATGTAACAAAACTCACCGTACCATATGATTAGTGATTTTTTTTTTGTTCACGGTATTCTGACCAAATCATTAATTTGATCAAATGAAGGTGGAACAAAAAGTTCTACAGTACGTGTCCAGAACTTTACCTGGCAGGCATCTTTCTTTCCACTTTGGTAACCAGCGCAGAGCATTCTGGGAGTTAGCATTTGGCCGTACGACTTGGCACAATCATCCTCACTGACCAGGAGAACGTCCACTTTCTGGAGGACGTTACTGGCCTTTCCTGGAGGAGGCCGAGTGTTTCGACAATGTCAGCATATTGGAGATCGGACATCGACAAAAAGTTCATATCAGACATCCCTATTTTTTACTTTTTATCCACTTACCCCCTTCACGCAGTGCCCCCCAACCTGTGACCCAACAGAGCATGCCTGGCTCCACCTGGTGGCTTGATTGGGGGAGGCAGATGGGTGTAGCCCGTTTGGTCTGCAGCGCGGTGGCCGGGCGGGTCAGCTTCAGCAGGGCCAGGTCATAGTCGTAGGTTTCATTGTTGTAGTACTGGTGGATGTGGATCTGCTGGACCAGGGCCATCTCCTCCGTGGGAGCACTGGGCTTCAGGAGGAGTTTTCCCAAGTAGACCGTCCACATCGATGGAGAGAAGAGGCTGAAGGAAATTATTTTATAGTTTTTTAATGTTAGTTAAAAATTATATTTCCTAAATATTCCGCTTCTCGGCCGAAGCTGCTGCTGAGCTGTAAATCACTTCACTCTGTTCTGACAGATTGTCGTGCTGCACTGAATGTTGTTGTTGTAAATCTGGCTGTGGTTCAAGCTGTGGATTATGACAGAACTGAGTCGGTTTAATTAGAGAGAACATGTTGGTGAGATAAACACAGAACAACAGAAGGATTTAACAAAAAACAAAAAAACAAGAGCGTAAAAAGAAAAACAATGAAACAATTATTCAATTAAAACCTGTTTGAATAGGAAGTAAAAAAATAATCGGATTAAGAGACTTTGCACCGAACATTAGTTTTCTCATCACGGACTGAACTTCTGTAAACTGTAAACAGTCAAATCCATATAGAACAGGACCGGTACCGATGGCTAACAAACTCATTAGACTTTTAAAATTAAATTAAATTAATAAAATTAATCTGTAATTGTTTGACCGGTTTTAACTTGAATTGCTTCTGTGGCACTTTGTGATTTCCTTAAATATAAAGGGCATTACAAATTAAATGTATTATAATTTTTTGTTATTTTTTTTACATGGTTTCAAAAATGGTTCTTATTTGTGCTGAACGCAGCACTTTAGTTCGTGTTTTGTTTTCTCCAAAATCCCCCTTTAAAAACCACTTCCTCCTCCTCTCACTCTCTCTTCCTGTACGTACCGGTCCTCGTAGAAACAGTGGGCAGCTGACACCACCCACTGGCTAGAGATCAGCGCTCCACCACAGACGTGGCCGCCCCGAACCTGCAGGCTGACCTGCCACGGCCACTCGCCCTCCGAGGCATTGGTGCCGCCAACGATACGAGCGAACACATGCCTCAGACCGCAGTCTGAACACACACACACACACACACACACATGCACATGGTTTCACATCCACATATACAGTGTTCACAAAGTTCAAGGGGGCCAAATACTTTCGCAAGGCACTGTATGTTAAGGTGTGTGTGTGTGTGTGTGTGTGTGTGTGTGTCCTGACCACAGTCGTCTTCATCGGAGGCGTCTGGACAGTCGATGACGGTGTCACACTCTGGGTTTGACTTCTTCAGACAAGTGCCGTCTGCACACACATATGTCATGTCAGAACACTGCACACCTGCGCACACACACACACACACACACATAAATACATGCAGATTACGTGCAGAATTCAGAGTAGACTGTAGCACGGTCGGTTACTGAGGCGGTCGGTTACTGGGGCGGTCAGTTACTGAGGTGGTCGATTACTGGGGCGGCTGGGGGCGGTCGGTTGCTGGGGCGGTCGGTTACTGGGGCGGTCAGTTACTGGGGCGGTCGGTTACTGAGGCGGGCAGTTACCCTCGGTGCAGTTCATCTCGTCGGTGGCGTCAGGGCAGTCTGGCTGTTGGTCACACACACTGCTGTAGTCCACACACTGAGTGTCGCCTGGACACTGGTACTGGGCTACACACACTGACACACACACACACACACACACAGGTAAACAGTGTTATATAACATGGTAAAGGTTTGGTTGGGGGTGGGGGGGGTGTATATTAGCATAACTATGTAATATCGATCAGAATCATTTAGTTTTTTTCTAGGGATGTCCGATAATATCGGCCGACCGCTATGATCAGATATTAGCATATTATGTAATATCGTTATCAGCTTTTTCTTCTGATAATGAAAACCCGAAAACGCAATACCTGGGTTTGGACAAATTATTCATGTTCTAAAAATAGTTTTGGGGATAAATGGCTGTATATACAAGCGAAAGTCACTAGATGGCAGCATCGCAGCTCATTTAATTAATCTCGTACTTTGTTTGTTTGTACCGATAAATAAATATATATCAGCAGGTCTATATCGGTGTCGGTTGATATTAGAATCGGATGTGTTTGGACAATATCGGCAAAAACTATATTTCTGTATATTTTGGCATTTCTGTATATTTTGATAAAGCAATTCCTGGGTTTTGCCAAATATGATGGAATTGCTTGTGGCATCCAGAGATATTTAACTCAGTTTTGGGGGAAAACGGTTGCATATATCAGTATCAGTATCGGTTGATATCGGAATTGGTAACGTATGATATCGAAATCAGAAATGAAGTATTTGGATTTACAATATCGGCATATCAGATATGGGCAAAACGTTAATATCGGACTTGAACTTTCTTTGGTAGAGGCTTGTGGTTCGATTCATTTATTTATGTTTTTCAGTCTGATTTTATGGTCCAATCCTCCAAGTCAAACACAGTTGGCTCCACTGAATGGCTGATGAGGTAATGAACCGTTGTTCGTCTTCCTGTGTGGAATCTCAGGAGACGATCAGTGGCTAAAGGACGTGTTTAACAGCGCTTGAATAATTACCACAGTTTGTCTCGTCAAGTCCATCGGGACAGTCGTTGATGCCATCGCAGGAAGGTACGCACTGACCATTGACTGTGCACAGAGACTGACCTGGGCAGGCTGTAAGACGAAGACAAAGACGAAGACAAACACACGCTGCTTATGAATCAAGGGAAGAGAGAATTTTTTTTTTCCCTTGTTGTGGTCTCTGTCTCTGCCTCCAACGTACGGTCTGACAGGTTGAACAGGCTGTAGTGGAGCTGAAGGCCCGGCCCCGTGAGCGACACCTCCGAGGTCATGACCACGGTGGCTGACGTAGACGTCAGGAAGAGTCGTTGGCTGTAGGGCTGCAGACTCCTGGAGCCGCACAGTCTGAGGGACGGAGACAGTGAAATCAAGAATTAAAAACAGAGAAAAATAACAGAATAACAAATCATAAAATTAAAATATGTTTATTTGTTAATGCTACAAATATATATATATATGTTTTTTTATGTTTTTAAGAATAATGCTCCCCCTGCTGTTGTTACTGGGGCGGTCAGTTACTGAGGCGGGCAGTTACCCTCGGTGCAGTTCATCTCGTCGGTGGCGTCAGGGCAGTCTGGCTGTTGGTCACACACACTGCTGTAGTCCACACACTGAGTGTCGCCTGGACACTGGTACTGGGCTACACACACTGACACACACACACACACACACAGGTAAACAGTGTTATATAACATGGTAAAGGTTTGCTTGGGGGTGGGGGGGGGGTGTATATTAGCATAACTATGTAATATCGATCAGAATCATTTAGTTTTTTTCTAGGGATGTCCGATAATATCGGCCGACCGCTATGATCAGATATTAGCATATTATGTAATATCGTTATCAGCTTTTTCTTCTGATAATGAAAACCCGAAAACGCAATACCTGGGTTTGGACAAATTATTCGTGTCCTAAAAATAGTTTTGGGGATAAATGGCTGTATATACAAGCGAAAGTCACTAGATGGCAGCATCGCAGCTCATTTAATTAATCTTGTACTTTGTTTGTTTGTACCGATAAATAAATATATATCAGCAGGTCTATATCGGTGTCGGTTGATATTAGAATCGGATGTGTTTGGACAATATCGGCAAAAACTATATTTCTGTATATTTTGGCATTTCTGTATATTTTGATAAAGCAATTCCTGGGTTTTGCCAAATATGATGGAATTGCTTGTGGCATCCAGAGATATTTAACTCAGTTTTGGGGGAAAACGGTTGCATATATCAGTATCAGTATGGGTTGATATCGGAATTGGTAACGTATGATATCGAAATCAGAAATGAAGTATTTGGATTTACAATATCGGCATATCAGATATGGGCAAAACGTTAATATCGGACTTGAACTTTCTTTGGTAGAGGCTTGTGGTTCGATTCATTTATTTATGTTTTTCAGTCTGATTTTATGGTCCAATCCTCCAAGTCAAACACAGTTGGCTCCACTGAATGGCTGATGAGGTAATGAACCGTTGTTCGTCTTCCTGTGTGGAATCTCAGGAGACGATCAGTGGCTAAAGGACGTGTTTAACAGCGCTTGAATAATTACCACAGTTTGTCTCGTCAAGTCCATCGGGACAGTCGTTGATGCCATCGCAGGAAGGTACGCACTGACCATTGACTGTGCACAGAGACTGACCTGGGCAGGCTGTAAGACGAAGACAAAGACGAAGACAAACACACGCTGCTTATGAATCAAGGGAAGAGAGAATTTTTTTTTTCCCTTGTTGTGGTCTCTGTCTCTGCCTCCAACGTACGGTCTGACAGGTTGAACAGGCTGTAGTGGAGCTGAAGGCCCGGCCCCGTGAGCGACACCTCCGAGGTCATGACCACGGTGGCTGACGTAGACGTCAGGAAGAGTCGTTGGCTGTAGGGCTGCAGACTCCTGGAGCCGCACAGTCTGAGGGACGGAGACAGTGAAATCACGAATTAAAAACAGAGAAAAATAACAGAATAACAAATCATAAAATTAAAATATGTTTATTTGTTAATGCTACAAATATATATATATATGTTTTTTTATGTTTTTAAGAATAATGCTCCCCCTGCTGTTCAGACTGCATCATCAAAGTGTTACCGTTTATTTCATGAACTTTTTCCGCTAATTCAAATACATTCACTTTTTTTTTTACAGTTTTGTTTTTCAGTTTTTTTTGCAAACATTTCTAATCATTAACTTAGTAAACCGTGTTCATATAAAATTACATCAGCACCGACCTGCTGACATCAGCACCGACCTGCTGACATCAGCACCGACCTGCTGACATCATCAGGTTTAGATTTTATTTCTATTTCCCCCCCTGATCTCCATTTACTGCATTACTGTTAAACACGATGTATCAATTTGATAAACCTAAAAAATAAATACTCAATAAGAACATAGAAGTCCATCTATTTATAAAACACCGTTTCTCTAAAAACTTCCTACATCAGTATTTCTGTACTGCTCTGAACTTTTATAAATACTTAGGTGTTGTTTGGTTTCTCATGTGTGGGCGTACTTCCACCCTTTACTTTTTTTTTACACTTTTTTTTATGTTTCCTGGTAAATGACAGACTGTTTATCTTTAAAATGTTGCCATAACATTCTACCTAATTTCCTTTTGATCATTTTTTTTATTTTTTTTTAATTTCTTTCTGCCCATCACTTGAGCCGGGACAGAACCGAGGACTGGTCCAAGTCTCTCAGACCTCACCTCCTGTCCTGGACCGTCCACTCTCCCTGGGTACAGGCCTGGTTGTTGCTGGCCTCACTCAGCTGGTAACCTTCAAACTGCAGCGTCAGGCCCGAACCCTCACCTGGTATCTGATCACACACACACACCAGAAACACAGAATACCAGATGCAGTAAAACACACGAGGACTCTGGGTGTACTGTACGGGTCAGGCGTCCTACGGTAAAACTCCAGGTGCAGTTAGTGTCCGGGGGGTAGTAACTGGGGTAAAAGGGCGTCTTCAGTGTCCCCTGGATCCCTGCCACTGCCTTCAGCCATATGGTGGCGCTACAGTCTGAGAGAAATATCGGAAAAATAACAGAGTTTCAACCTGAGGTGTTTGATGTCGGTGTTGGAGGATTTTTTTTTTGTCTCTGTGTGGTTTGGTTACTCTTTCGCTCCCAGGCCTGAGCCGACAACAGGAATGTGTTCTGGGGGTAGTAAAGACCCCTCCTCCAAACTACTGCCATCCACTGGCCGGAGGACAGGACGCTGACCTGACGCTCGTGTCTGCTGCAGCCGGTCACACTGTAGAGACACACAGGGACAGATGAAAAAAACCACTGACAGCTGTGGAGTAACAGCCAAAACCAGGTCTGAGTCTGGGGGGGGGATGAGGCGGGGGGTCTCACGATGTGATGAGCTGAGACTCTGACGGAGAGAGAGAGTCGTACACCGCCAGCCTGTCCTGGCACTGGGGCAGCAGCCACTCCATGTGGAGCTCCAGCTGTGAACCGGCAGCCGTCTGCAGGTGCCACAGGCAGGAAGAGTGCTGCGGATCGGGGCCAAGTAAAGCCACGGGGCCCCCGGGCGCCACCTCCTGGTAGCGGTAACAGTCTGTGAAATAGTTTGATTTTTAAGACAGTTTTGTGTGAAAATTGACGTTGTTATTGGTGTTATTTAGTCGTAGCTGTTGTCATATCGTAATGCAGTTGTTCCCAAAGGTAGGGAGGCGGGCCCTGTTGGGGAACATGGAGCTATTGAAAGACGGTCCTGTATGAATTGAACTAATTTGTTATTTAAATTCCATTTATTCATTTTATGGATTTTAATGGGAATTACTGTGAACATGTTAATGTCTGTGACATAAACGCATTGAATTCATCACACAAAACATAAGACTCAAAAAAAGCAGCGTCGGGTTACTTTCAGCTCCTCTGTCTCACATTTAAACTAAAATATTTTCTCTCACCGCTGACCGACAGCGAGGGCAGGTAGAAGAGGTATCCATTAGAGCTGACCATCTGCTCTTCTCCTGACCCTCTCGACCCCTTCAGGCCCTTCTCCAGGCTGGAGGTGATCTTAATTAGTGTGACCCTCCCAACATGGCTGCTTGGCACGGACATCACTATCCAGAAGTGCGCCACCAAGCTGCCACTGCTGTGTCAACCAAAATATGCGTACGTTACTGGAATCACGAGACACAAACGGCAACATTTTGGGGTAAAAAAAAAAACTTTGACTCACGTACCCAAAGGCGAAGACGGTGGTGTAGTTAAAGTATCGTGACAGACCTGAGTCCTTCATTATCTTCTCCACCTGTTAATGATTATGAGTGACATTTAGGCTAAACTGTGAAAATGAGACCTGGTTTCTCTGGACTCACCACCGTCTTTATGCCTTCGGCCTCCGTCTTGAACAACGTGCTGTCGGGCGAAGACAGGTCGGCAGAGAAGTTTCTGTTGAGGATGGACATGTAGGCCGCATACTGCTGCTCAACACGGGGCTCCTGAACCCAGATCCTGTACTCTGCAATCACAGCAGCTTCAGTTTCAATTTGTCCAGAAGCTGTCGTTAGGACCGCTGCAAAGATTATCTTGAATATTTCTATTCATAACGTCAACATTCAGGACGGATATTGTCGTTAGGACCGCTGCAAAGATTATCATGAATATTTCTATTCATAACGTCACCATTCAGGACGGATATTTTTTTATGAATTGTTCATTTTGGGGGATGAAAAAAACCTCAGAGCTTGACAAAGATTTGACGGTAAAACAGTTTAGTTATTAAACTCGGACACTTGTTAAAATGGTAACATCTGTCTTGGAACTTTTTTGAACCCAGTCAAGTTTTCAATAGTTATTTGTTAAAATCTTTGTTTTTATTCAACTTAAAATAAAAAGAGAATACAAAACAAGTACCACTAACAGTACTGCTCACCAACAAAGTACCAGATCAGTACGGCTCCAGCCACGATGAAGATAATGATGAAGATAGTGATGACGACCAGGAGACACTTGAACGGTCGAGTGTTCCTAAAGGGCAGAGCCACCGCTGGTGCTCCGGCTTCTGCCTGAAAACCGGGAAATATTGATATTGTGTGCATTGTATATTTAAAAAATCAACATCGTCTTAAAAAAGTCAGAGAATGAATAAACAATTAAAAATAAGTACCATTAAATGTATGAATTTAGATTCAGTAAACTTGCAGTGAACACTTTGCTTCAAGACTGAACAAATGACCGGAGGTTAAAACTAAAATAGTTTCTCACTGCGGTGTGTGTGATAACTGATAACAGGGAGAAGTGAGGTTTGGGTTTTAAGGTGCAGGAAACCAGACATTTCACAGCTGCATCTCTCGAACTCAACAACAAGTTGTTGTTGTTTTTTTTTTATTTAAATTCTGTATCAGTTATCAAGTATTTCACGAACACTTGCTGACGGTCCCTACCTGGTTTTTCTCTGAAGCGTAAGCCACTCCATCACTCCACATCCTTTGTTCTCTGTGAAACCATCCCAGTCTCGGTGGACCGCAGTCTTCTCTGAAGCTCTCGTTAAGACTCAGCGAGGGTTAAAGCACACGCTCTGCTCCCACAGACAGAAACTAGCGCCATCTTTTTTTTTTTTTTTTTTTAAAAACACCGTTCAGTTTACGCTGCCGTTCATTTGATCTGAGGAGAGGTAAGGTGAGACCCGGCAGCAACTGTTGTTGCAGCCGGTCGGTCAGGTAGGCAACAGGTGCGATGATGTCACCGAGCGTCACCTGGCAACAGTGATGCTCCCTGTCAGTTCCCCCAGCACAGGGAACCCGACTGGGAATTAATAAGGTTTACACTTGTGTGCGTGTGCACCTGTCGTGTCCCAGAATTCACTTGGACACCAGTCTCAACGGGAGCGTGCTGCTAACGCACTGAATGTTTTCAGCTCAGTGTTCTGACTGGAGATGAGCGTGAGCAGAATTAATCACCATCCAGAACGTTACACGGAACTCTCCCAACCTGTTGGTTAAAAAAATTGATGTCACTTAATTGGTCCCAAAACTATTATTTTATTGCAAATTTTTGTTGTTGTTGTTGTTGTTCGTCAATGTGTGACAGGCAGAGCAGTTAAATCCTCTTCTGCTAGGGGGCAGCAGATGGTTATTAAAACTAAAAAAAGATCATCAGAGCTGTTGAAGAAGATCTTTCTTCAATTCCTGCCAGTATATCAGCATTGTTTTCAACTAAACAGGAGTACATTTTCTTGTAAATTTAAACTACAATATTATTACATTTCATTACAGAGACTTTTTGTGAGATTTTTTTTGGTGGGGTGCCGTGGGGTTTTTCCTGAGTATATATACTGTATGTGCTGTGGCTCAAAGGAAAGTTGCGAAACACTGGTCTGTGCTCATCGGTCACAAAGTTCAGATTACGATGACTTTGTAGTACATAGGATGTATGTTGTAATACATTCCACTGTAATTAAAAAAAAAAAGTTCTACTACAGTGACTATGACTGCAACTATTACCACAGCTGCTACTGCTACTACTACAAGCACTACTAATGCTAATGCATAAGCTAATGCTAGGAAGAAGAACAAGAATAAGAGGATTGGTGGCAGAACGTCATCACTTTATTATTGAAGCATAGCAGATTCATAAAGTGAATAAATTGCAAATACAATAAAAACAAAAACATTTTCAATGAAGTAATTCATGATAATAACGGAGAAATGCAGCGGTGCCAAGTTATAATTTGCGACTTTCGAAAACAGCAGTCCAGTCCAGGAGCTAACGGCAGCTTTATTTCACCTGCTGCTTCACCGGCATGTAGCCATCACCGGAAGGTTCTGTGGACTTAGGCACTGATGTCAGGTCCAGTCTCCATTTGATATCACTGAGGCCTGAAGTCGGAAAGAAGCCTGATGGATTGCACTTCAGCGCCCCCTGTGGAAAAGTAAAAATGGGAGTGGGCAGGACACTGGGGAGCAAAGGTGTGGAGGACAGGACTTTTGTGGATTCACCGGACAGGTCTAAGTCTTCTGGGCTCTCCTCACGACTGAGCTGCTCCTCATCCTCACCCTCACAGCTGACTCCGGAGTCCAGACTAGGAAGTTCAGGACTGCTGGGCTCCAGCTTTTGGATTTTCTCATAATCGGAACAAACCGTAACAGAACCGGTGCCAAAAACGTTCCCCACTCCAACTCCGAAAAGTTTCTGAAAAACTGCATCTGTTTCGTGCGCCTTGTCTTTCGCCTCCCTCGCTGCCTCGTCACTGTCTTCATCAGCTGCACTGACGCATTCTGCCTCCAGGCTGTCCTGACTGAGCTGTCCACCAGTGCACCCCACTGAGTCCAGACCCTGACCAGAGTCTCGCTTCTCAACCTTCTCGTAGTCTGAGACCACTTGCACCGCCTCGCTTCTGTGGCTGCAGGAAAGCAACTGTCGGATCGTAAGTTCTTTGACTCGGTCTTCCTCGTCATCTTTCCGAACGCGTGCTTCATCAAAGTCACTCTGCTTCCGAGTCCCTGAACTCGGAGAGGCTTTGGGAGAAGACGTACACAAGTGCGGGTAAATGGGATTGGAGAAACTGGCTCTGTTCGATTTAAAGCTGCGCTCACTTCTCGTCTTCTCCAACAGGGCGGCGTCTTTGCTGCAGACCTGGACAGCATCCGCAGAGGAGATTATTTGTACAGGGACGATTTCTTCTTTATTTAAGGTGGAATCGAGGGACATGGTGGTGAAGTGGGGGCTCCACCAACCCTGAAAAAAAACAAAAAAAAAACAATGAGACCACATTTTTTTATTCAGCATTTTTTCCCGTCGGCTATCCATCATCTGCTGAACTTGTGCTTTTGCAGCAGGAAGTTCCTTTAGCCTCTCTGACATTTAACTGATACTATTTCTGTTCTCAGAAAGAGGGAGAAAAAACAGTGGAGTTCGCCTTTTTGTCAGTTACTGCACAAAACTGTAACTCTAACCCTAATCAGCCTTAAATACATTGTTTCGACTTTGTTCCTGTTTTTCAGGTGAATCAAAAAAAAAAACAAACGCAACGACACCATGTGTCTGCTAACTGTGCGTCAAAGAGTCGCCAAAAAACAAACTCACCTTGAAACTTGGGTCTTTCAGGAAAGATTTTGCAGGATCTGGTGGCGGGTAACCCTTGATCTTCTTGTAGACCCTAAAAGACAGAATAAAAAAATAAGAACTGAATAAATCATTTAAAAACTAGGAAACACACCAGACCTCAAGTTCTTTGTTTTTTATGCTTACCAAGTGACTTTGTCGTTTTTAAAGAGAATGCTGCCCAGAACCAGGGCCGTGGCTGCTCCAACAATAACCATGCCCAATTTACCCCAGGTGAAATCTGAAGAAGAGTGTGTGGAGTTAGGTCTTGTTTATTCAACACACACTCCAGAGCAGTGAGCAGTGAAGTACACACCAGTTAGCATCGTAGGTAATGCCGGTTCCGCCTCTCCAATGGGAGACACCCATGACGAAGTGGGACTCCACTCACTCCACACCGAGCCGGACCATTTTTCGTTAGCCCGAACTCGAACACGTGCTTTGTATGTTTGTCCTTCAACCAGTAAATCCGGGTCCAGCTCCGCCATACAGTTCCACTTACACGACGTGGTCTTCGTATTCTGTGATTTCCAAAAAATCACAGAAAAACAAAATCAAAACCGTTGTAGTTGAACTGGATGTTGGTCTGGAAAGTTTTCAAAGTATTTTTTTACAGTATTTTTTATTTCCTTCTTTGCTGTGTTTCCTGTGTTTTGCCACAGACAAATGTCAGTCAACGACACGCAAAAACTTGGTTTCTCACTGCACAGTAAAGCTCCCTTCAAACGTATACACACCTTCCACTCCTGATCCCATCTTTTCCACTGCAGCTCACAGTTGAAGTTTCCGATCTCTATGTGCTTCTTCACTTGAGAGAACCAGGAAACTGTTGTGAAGTTGATGTGTGGTTTTGCAGGTGGATGGAGCTTTACTAAACAGTGAGGAAACGAAACATTTGGCTCACATTTAAAAACCAACTGTGTGGGTGAAATGACGCAGGTTTTCATTTCACTCACTGTGACAAGATGGATTGAAGAGCATCGTCACGTATGGCTCCGTGTGGCCACACTTCAGGGTGATGTTCAGCCAGTGAAAGATCTGAAACTGAGTTTAAGTTGGAAAAAAAAAAAGGAGTTCACACAAATCAAAACATCAATTGAATTATTTTATATTTGTAATTATTATATGACAGACTCACATTTCCAGGCTTGTTAAAATCCAGGTTGCACGTTCTCTGCTCCGGACCGGGCTCCATGACACAGTGAGCGGAGTAAGCACGACTCCTTAACAGAGTACAAATGGATATACTTTTTTTATTTTTATTTTAATTTTAATTTTAATTTTTTTATTGTTTTGTTCCTTACGCTGTGTTAGGATTGATTCTTCTGCCGTGTAGCTCGCATGTAGCATCTGTGCGTCCAAAGTCGTTCGTACTGTTCCAGACACATGTGATGTTGTGATCGTAGTCAGTGTAGCAGGTGAGGTCTGTGACATAAGCAGAGCTGTGCGTTGGCAGGAATCTGGCGATACGATGCGTATCACCATACAGGGGCAACGATACGATGTATTGCGATGTATTGCGATACTGTAGGCACAACTATGTAGTTTTTAAGCAGTTAAACTGTCGTGTCATTATAGCAAAGACTCAGTGCTGTTCCATCGTAACGTCAGGTTATTCACTTTGGAACAGAGGGATCTACATTTGGAATCACTAGAGAGAAAAAGTTCACCATTGAAATTCACCATGACTATTTGGCTATTAATTGGGAACAAAAAAAAATGTTGATGTAGAATAACGATACAATATCGTGAAACGAAATATTGCGATACATCAGTGTATTGATAATTTCTTTTAGAAACCTAAATCAGAGCGTCATCAGTAAATAGAAAGATGAAGAGGACACTAACCTTGATCCTGTTTTTGGTTTGAACAGCTATTCGACCTGATGCTGCAGATTTGAAGCACAACCAGTAGAAACAGCAAAGACTTTTTCTCCATTCTCTCCATTTGTTCAGGCTTCAATTTTCCTTTTTTTATTTTTTATTTAACAGAAAATCGATGGCTGTTTACAGAGAATTCTCTGCTTCCTCCTTCTTCTTCTCATTTTTTGTAAATCATTACACACCTGTGGAAAAACACGGTACCATATGTTAGCCTCACGTTTGGTGATATTTATTTCCGTACGGCTGGGAACAGTTACGAGTACAAAAGCGGGAAACAAAAATGTTTCATTTCTAATCAGGCTTCGTCTGCAGCGGATCCTGAAAGGACGAAACACCTGACGCACCAGATGCACAACAATAAAGAAGATTACTTTGGAGAATTTTGAAAAAGAAAATTATTGAGAGACACTGCTTTAACCCTTTCACCTTAGTTAGCAGGTGGCACTTAACCTCCTGAACCAGCAGGCCATCACTGCGCCGCTCTTTTGGTATTGGTTGATATCGAAAAATCTGAAGTTAATATCTAACATCCCTTCATAGTGTGCCTCAAACCACTGGTTTCATCCACTGTCACACCTGAAATACATCAGATATTTTACTGTGTTCTTTTTTTCCCCTCTGGTATAAAGGAAATTGCGAAAACACCTTCCAGTAGAACCGTCTTTATCTTCCTCTGAAGGTCACTTCTGTGAAATCTTTGAGATATGAAGATAGGGGATTTTTTTTTGAGCAAGAAATGTTCCATCACAGTAGAGGTTTAAGGTGGGGTTTTGTGGTTAACACTCTTGGCCTGTTTGACTTTTTTATTGCAAACCCAGTTTTCTAAAAAAAAACTGTTTTTTTTTTCTACCCTATATACCTGCCCTTGAGCACTGACATTTAAACCGGTAAAAACAAAAATGCGGAAAATAGGTACAGGTGTCTGTGTCTGTGTGTGGGTGTTTTTATCCACACACAGTTTCACAAAGGTCAACATGTTTTTTTGCAAAAACCAAAATGTTTCTGCCAACACTGTGTTGATCAGATTACAGGTCGGCCATTAACCACCGATGATGACAAACGCTCTGGGCTTTACTGTAAATGTTTAATCTGTGTTCCCAATCTAAATAAAAGTTAGTTTTTCTTTTGAAGCCTTAAAAAAATTGGCTGCATTTTATTATTTTATTGGTGTGAAATAACAAATGTAGCAAATGTAAAAAATGTGCCGCCTCACTGAGTCAATTTCTGCAGAAAAACTGTGTTGACTGTCGTTAGTTCTGCATTCGAACTGATGATGAAACAACAATATTCAAATTGTCTCTGAAATGAAATCTGCAAATAAAAGAAAGAAGAAAGAATTGAACTGAATTTGTAACAAACCAACGTTCTCTTCTCAAACGTTTAGGTTTGTATGACTTTCACAGAAGAAAGAAAACGAACGCAGACTTGGTTAAATTCACCACATCACAACAAAAGCCCTCGTTTAAACAAAAGTCGTCAAATCAGACTGAAGGACTCGTCGTCGTTCAACTTTTCTCTGTCATCTTTGACTCTTTCTGACTTTTGGATGTCTTTGAATGCATCGCTGTCTATTATTCCGACACATATACATCAAACGAACTACACACACAAATACAAACCACTTCCTAAACCATTTCTCTTCCCAGAAGCTACCGTTGTAAGATCCAGGAAATGTGTTTTTCCTACTTCGTACCCAGACCACAGAGAGTCTCTTCACCACAGAGAGCTGATGTGAAATGACTGTTCTTAATGTTTGGAGATTAATTAAGAAGTAAAACTCCAGCAACTCATGCTTAAAACAACTATTTCCTCAGTCTGGACAACAGTGTTTCAGGACAGGAGTTTAGTTTCTGTCCTAAACGTCTGCACTGAAGAAGACCTGACAAAAGCTCAGACCATCTCACCTTCATTAGTTAAAACGACGAGATGTGCAAAACAATATGAACGGAGACTGACTCATCAGACTGACACCTTCACTGTGGCTTTACTTTGTTTATTCCATTATAGAAATGATTAAAGCACCGTGTTCTCAAATAGACTGGGGAAAAAACCCAACAGTTTTAAAAAATGTAGAATCTCAGTTTGAAATTATTTTTTTATATTTCTTTGCATTGCACATGCGAAATGTCAGAATCAAGGTGGGCAACGTGAAAAAAGAAAACAAAGACACTATGCGCTTGTTTGGGCGTCTTAAACACACAGTTCAGAGTTCAGGGTTAAATTTGATTTTTTTTTTTTTGTATACTGTATACTAGAAATTATTTGATCAGAGGAAGAAAACGCAAATGAGTTTAAGATGTAGACCTGAAGGTGAAGGAAACAAAGTAGTCAGTACTACTTTGGTATTTGCAGAGACTGTAACAGTCACTGTGGCGGAGGCAGTATGTAGGAGTAAACGATACTGTGTTCTGTCTGTGAACAGATGAACTTTAAGGGTTGATACTTCAGTCACTCTGTAAATTCACCAGCCTGTGTACTACTACTGAAAAAGTACCATTAACCTGAACATACGAGGCTAGCTTCATGCTAATGAATATTGTTGTTTGATGTCTAAATTGGTCGACAGCGCAGCTGGATTCTAGATTTCGGCGGGTCATAAAACGTCTACTCCGGAGACACCAGTGAATGTTCCGCAGCTACAACTTCACATCAAACGTCCCATTAACGTGACGAAAGCTCTGCGAAGTAAATGATGTGCACTGGTCATCCGTTTGTACCACGGTGATGATGTTGGAGTCTGTTAGCACATCTGTGGTGTCTACTTCTACTTCTTCAACATCTTTCTGTCCACGTCCTCCACCTTCTCTAACGCTGACCCACGTCTCCACGTGTTTAAAACCAACTTTGTTCTCCCACACTTTTATCTGAGTCGTCGTTCTTAACCACGTAAGTCATAGATAGCTTTCGTCTTGACATTAAAAAAACCAGTCGTTCTGTTCTGGTGAGGTTTATCTGACATACGAGCAGTAACTGAAGATGCGACCGCGACCGTTCTGTTTAGTCTGGTTTCAGTTGTAAATCCAGAATCCAGACTCTGTAGCGTTAATGTTAATTTAAAAAAACAAAAGTCTTGGACTTGACATGATGAGACTTACACTACAGCTGATAACCAGCTCATTCACAACGGAGAATGTTTCCGAAGGCTAACCACACTCACCCCGCATATCTGTTCAGCCCCGGCTTCATCTCCAGCCACCGTACATAACGTAAAATAATTCAAAATAGTTTAAAAAATAAAAAACCACCAACGTACCTGCTGCTCGGACCTTCAATCCAACAGCTTCTCTTCAGTGAGGAGGTTTTAAGTGGTTTTCACGTCTGTGGACTCGCAGACGTGTTTCAGTGACGTAAAGAGGAAGGGGTTTTTCTCTGAGTGCAAAAACAAAAAAAAAAAAAAAAAACACTATGAGTAGTTTCCCTTCAAGGTAGAAACAGTAGAATCTGTTACTGTTTCTGCACGTGTGAAACAACAGGACGGAAAATCCTGTTTAGTTTCGACTTCCTTCCTCAAAAAAAAAGGTTTGAGCCCTTTTGAAACATTTCCCATCTGGATATACAGTATTTGAATGTGTTAAAATGCTCTTCTAATCTGTGTCATTTCCTTGTCATTCCAAAGTAATTCTAGATCAACTCCTTGTATAAAAGGTTCCAGCAGGTGGCGAAAAGACTCAAAGAAAGGCTGATCGATGGACTTGTCTATCAATTATTTTTGCTAATATAACGATGGAGCATAGATGTTTATAAACAGAAAGGGCATCCGGGGCAGTGGTGACATGGTGGTTAAGGACGAGGACTTGCGTCCGGGAAATCACACGTGGGGGATTTAAGGAATTGGTGTTAGCACAACACAAAATATCGCGGCCAAAAGGTGAAAGGTCAAAATTCTTCTACTGATGAACATAGTTGACATTAGACACACAACATCACCGCTGAGCCACAGTCCGTACAACACAGTTCTTGTGACTATCGAACTTTCTTCTAAAATTACTTTGTAGTCATTCTTTCAACACATGACTGACGTTCACACCAATCATCATCCGTTTTTCACATGACAGTTTGTGACACAACAGACGGGGAAATGGAAGACTTCACATCATGAGACAGAAAATGTAACCAACGCTGACAAACCAAACTTCTGTCCAACATGTGTGGGGTTTTTTTTCTTCATCTTATTTTAATATTAATTGTAACATTTGAAAACCAGCCACTTCCTGCTTCTAATTGCCATATTATAATATATAAACATTAGTTGGAGGGAAAAGCTTGTTTTTATGCCAAAAACAAATTTTTAGTCTTGACTATACCGCCCCCAAGTGGAGAAAAACTTTAACTTTAAAAATTTAAAACTAAAATTTAAACTTTATTTTGTACATAACTGTAAATATCCAATCACTAAATGAGGGATGAAATGTTTATGACGAGCAAAATGTTTTAAATAATCACAATTTCCTAGACACAGATACAGCTTCTCTGTTTAATTGATGATATTATTAATTATTACATTATTTTATATAATAATAATTTACACTTTCATTCTACTACAGTGCCAGTAGAAAATAGACCACGCAGAACATGGGACAATGTGAATTCATCAGCGTCGTATCAACAACACTCACCCGTCAGGTCAGCGATAAGACGGCGACTCCCTCCAGACGGATCAGCAGAGATAAAGAATCCTGCCTGACTTTGTGTAGAGCGTGGAAACAAAAAAAGTACTGATCAGTAGGAAGTACCTCGGCTTCACATTACTGTGAAAAAAGAAGAAGAAGAAGTTATGGGAATTATCACTTCCCTCTAAAAAAAGCCATGTCATCAAGCCTCAGCCTCTCTGTGAGCACGGAAATTGATGAACAGAATTGTTTACGTCCATGGATGATTTACATTTACATTCTGTAAATGTAAATCATCAGAGCACCTAAGCAGCTGGTGGATTCAAACCTGAAACCTTCCAGACCCAAATCCGCTTCCTTAACCGCTAAGCCACCACAGAGTTTTATTTGTGACGGTGAAGCAAAACAAGATTCTGTATCTTCATTGTGCAACTTATTTATTTTTATTACCCAAAGTATTTGATTTGATTTGACACTGAAACAGTACAAAATGTCAGAGTTTAGTGTTTTTACAAACTCAGAGTCATCAGGAACTGTTGAATGTTTTTTGTTTTTCCGCTACAAAATTATTTCACAATCTGGGAACTGTGTGTATTTGCCAAGGGAATTTCAGACATGGGTACTTTTTATACTTTGAAAATATTTGTTACTTCAACAGCGCCCTCTGATTGTAGTGTTTGGTCAGTGATCTCCAAATCTGACGGAAGACACAGACGACGTCTTCTGTGCTGTCTTCGGTGCTGCGATGTTTAAAAATGGACAAATACCAGCTTCACACTCACAAAAGTACTTGAGTATTTCCTCAGACTGTCAAAGTATTTTTTTTTAATTAAACCTTTCCCTCAGGATGGATCTAGAACACGTGCTCTCTCACAGACCTGGGGCTCATGTCAATGTTAATGTCAGGTCAATCCTGTACTGAATACATGTATTACAGTATTTCAGAAGTAGATATTTGTCCACTGGAGTTGAATTGAATGTTTGTCCTTCTGTTCTTTGATTACAGTCTTGCTTGAACTGCTAACATGACAACGACTACTTCAGGACACGTTGATCCATCGGAACAAATTAACGCCGCCAGATCTGTCCAAGGTCTGTACACAAGTGTCCTTCACAAATGCTTCCCCCGTCCTTCAGATATAACGTGCTCAGGCACGGCCCGTGTGTACCACTCTGACCAACCGCCGTCGTACACGGACATCCCGGGGTGTCCGCACTCGTGGGCTGCCAGCACTACGTGGCACGCAGTCACCGCTGAGCCGCAGGAGACGCAAGCAGGTCGACTGAGGTCAACACCGGCCCGTTGGAATAAAGCCTGGAGTTCGTGCCTCGGCAGGAAGTGGCCTGATGAGGACAGGAAGGAGTGGAAGGGCATGCTGAGGGAACCAGGGATGTGGCCAGGCTCTGTGTCTGTGAAACACAAGAAGAGAAAAAGAGTTTGGGAAAAGTTTTATCTGCCAGTATAATCCTACTGGAGTGGAGTCCTAAAGTCTGAGGATCATTTCTGTTTTTTCTTGAACAGTCTGTGTTGAACAATTTTAGCCACAACACTGGCATTGTCTTCATAACTGCCCGTGTAATACCGCTTCTGACCACACAGGGTCAGTAGAGGGCACAAAACATTTTGAGCAGCGTCCACTACATGTTTGGAAAGGTGGTTAAGGCTCCTGCCTGGTTCACACACTGCTTCAGTTCCAGGTGAAGACAGATGTTTTTCTGAATGTCATTTCCATGTTTCCATGTGTCAACAGTTTCCTCCTCTTCTTTACCCCAGGGATTGCCTGCAACCCTTAAAGGAGTGGAAGATGGATGAACTGGAGAAAATACATTTCTGCATTTTTTATTTTTTTTTTTTTTTTTTTTTTTTTTTAAAAAAACCCACCAACAACAATAACCTCAGTGACAAGAGTCAATTTGCCCGAGGCCAAAGTTGACTGCTGACACAGCTCTCTCATGTGGAGTTTCACCCCTGGGTGAGCAATATACCATCACATCAGCGCCCCCTGTGGTGGGTATGACCACGTGGGTGTGTATATCTGCACGTACAGTATATGAGAAGTCTGGAAGTCTGTGATGAAGATAAGACTCACAGTGTAGGAGTGTTATCACCGCTGACAGACTCAGGATCTGTCCACATAACAACGTGAACTCAAGACACTGTTATTGCCCTTCAGAACACGGTTTGAGGTCAAACATGTGGGTCAGTGACTGTAGTTGACCTGCACGCTGATGCAACCTTACCCTTGTGTTATTTGTGCATATAGATCTCCACTGTGTTTTTACGCTTCATGGGGAGTCAAACGACGGTGAAACGATGGTTTTGACTCCTATATAATATGAAAAAACCTGATAAGGTTTGAACTTTACCTTACATGGTATTAAACTATAACTAAGACATTTCTCATTTGAGTTCATGATTGTAAAGATCTACGGTGATTTTCCTCAGTCAAACCAGTGAATGATCAGACTGGTATGTCTGGTTTCTCCTACTGATCTGATCTGATCAGTGAACAAAGCCTTCATCAATAACACTTAATCAACAAACTCGTATTTGAGATTTGAGTGGACCACGTAACAACTCTATCAATAATAGAATATAGAGGGGAAAAAGATTCGATTTTGTTTTTTAATCCCTTGTACTGTCAGAGGGCAAAGGTGCCAGCACCATCTGTCGGGCTTACTGAATTAGTGCAAATAATTCTATTGTTAACAAATATCTCGAGGGTAAAAGCAGACTTCCGTTTGCTGTAGTGCACCTACTATCTCTGGGTTCAGGGTCCAATCCTCTGAATCTGCCTTTGGGCCTGGCATCGACCACCTGGAACTTCTTGGTGTCCAGATTGTCCAGGATGTCCTCGTAGTTCTTGACCCACGACCGGTTCAGGTTGGCCTTGAACTCGGTCGCTGCAGGTCTAACGTACCTATCGCTCATCGGTCGACCCTCCAGCTCCCAGTTTCTCAGCCCCCCGTTCAGAAGCGACACCGCGCTGTGGCCGAAAACCCGGAACATCCACCACACGCGCGGCGCAGAGAACGCACCGAAGTCGCTGGCGTCGTAAACCACGACGTGCGTGTCGTTTTCTATTCCCAAGTTTCCAACATAATCCCCGAAGCTCTTTTCTGACGGCAGCATGTGGTCCAGAGGAGACGTTTTATCACAGCACTGATCTATGTCAAAGAACGACGCACCTGGAATGTGTCTCTTTTTAAACTCTCTTTTCGCGTTGAGACGTAGTTTGGGTAAAAACCATGAAGCGTCCAAGATGCGCATTTTACCCGGTGTATTCACCGCCGCCGCGAGCCACTTTGTGGTGACCAAGGCCTTCGTCTGAAGAGCCATAGTTGATTCTGGATATGTTTGCGCCGACCTGAAAGTTTCGGGATCTAATCCCAGTTTGTGACAACGTTTTTAAGCAGGTACAGTGTCCGGAGGAGCGATGGAGATCAACAGGCGACACGCCCCCAGTTCAGAGTGCAGGCAACAGCTGGAAGTGACGCTTCACAGTTAATGTGATCATTGTGGAAACGACTGTCACAGTAGAATAAGTGTCGAGAGCGCGTGATTGGGGTATTTTGTGTATCTCTATACCGACTTTGGTAAAGGACCAAATACTTTGATAACTATCATCTGTTTTATTTTTTATTCTGTTTTATTTTGACTCTTAATCACTAAAATATAACACGTTCATTGTTGCAGTAATAATATTATGAATTGGCGTTTCCCTTCTCTTCAAATTACATCTTATTGTGTCATTATTTGGTTGTTTTTATTGCTTAACATTTATTTAAGTTAAACAAGTCTCTTTATCCAACAAAAGTTTAAGTATTTCGCGTGTTTCTGTGCAGTTATTATCAGTTTTTGTTTGTTTTTTTGTTTTTGTTTTTTTTTTTTTTTTTTGTAGTTCCTGCCCTTTGTGCTGTACATCTTTGTTTTTGGAAACACTCACGTGTTGATTTCTTTATTGAACGATCATTAACAGTTTTATGTTGTGTTGTACACATTATTTTTCTCGCGTTGTATTTCTCGCGTGTGTAATGTAAAGTTGCTTTTGTTATTAATAATAATAGCAATAGTCGTAGTTGTTTTAGTAGAAGAAGTAGTAGTAGTCGTAGTAGTAGTAGAAGTATTTGTTGTTTGTGATAGTGTCAGTATCGGCTTAGTCGTTGTGACGGAACCGTCGGATGTAGGAACCTTTTTTCAACTATTGTTCAGACGGAAGTGTTTTAGCGGTGCACGGGCGGATGTTGATGTATCACACGATGCTTCAGTGCCGGTAGTCTGTGTCGCTGTTTGTCTCGTTAAAATAAGCAGGAAAGTCAACAAATTGAATAAGAATGTCCGCTTCTTTATTGAGAAGAGGACTTGAGCTCTTCAACAATGACGTTAAAGGTCAGTTTGACATCTAACTTGAGTCTGTGTATCAGCTTAGTACGGTTAGCGTTGGACAAGCACGAATGGCTTTATGATTTAGTTAGAAATGAGCATCAGCCGTTGGAATCACCCAAACAACGAAGGGGTTTATTTTATATATCTGATTTAAGTTCATTTGTCTGTTGTTCTCCCCGCGGTTCTCGCCTCACAGATGCCAGTAAAGGTAAAAGGAAACGGAAGCAGCAGCAGACCCCTAGTCTGGCCACAGCGAAGGAGCTGGTGAGCACCAAACGACAGGGAGTCACCAAACAAGTGAAACGGCTGCAGGGTCGCCAGGGACCCGGAAAGAGCAAGGCCACGGTCAAAGACAAGAGGATCAAATCTGCAGTGGGTCAGTCTGTTGCATTTTTTTCGGTTAGGTGAAAAGTTGATTTTGTTTGAATGAATACGGTAATGCTACACAAGGAATATATCAGTGCTCTCATCTAATCGTAGGAATCGTAGGTATGGCTTGTATTATTGTGTTAATTGCATCAAATCCATATTAATCCAGATAAATTCTTGTTCCACATGAGAACTGAGCCTAATATTTGACCTCCAATGACCATATGTGCATTTTATTTTATCTGACTCCTGTTTTTGTGTCACTTA